TTGACAGCATCATGCTGAGGGCAGTTTCCAGCAACTGTATAGGAAACTAATTAGAGTTGATGGGAGGATAGATGTAGTTAAAAGCAGGGACATAATAAACTTATAAAGGTTTACAGTGGAGATTCATGATTTAGCAGGAGAACAACTCTAAACAGTTTAAATTACATTCATGTGTTTTAATAGCCCAAAACTACTTTTTGGAAAGATTACTGTTTGCAGACGCTCTAAAACCGACTAACTTAAGTTGAGGATTTTTGAAAAGAAGTATGGAAAACTATTTCAGTTTCTTAATATTCATGAAAGTCAAGAAAATGTGAACATTTAAATTTGTTTTTCTGAGACATCTATTAACATGCCAGTTTAAGTGCAATGATGAAGTAGGGTTTTAATTAGATAATTTGTTTGTTTGTTTTTTAATGCTATGAAACATTTCTTTTTTGACTACTAAACTGAATTCAGCAGATGATGCATACTCCTGCAATCACACTGGAAACTTCTGCTTTGAAAAAAAGATGGTGTTCTTATGACTCAAAGAAGGTTGGTTTTTGTTAAATTACACCTAATCATAAAAGTGCAATTAAATCCATCTGAGAGGATTCTGCACGGATACTTTCATACAGTAAGTCAACTTGGAATAAATAGTTAAAATTAGCACTGATCCCAGTCGTGCACTTTTTTCCTATATGGTGTTTGAATCTAACTTAATGCATATGTTTGCATAAATGTGCCTGTGTTCGTACAGTCTTTGGGAACAAATTAGAGCTTGATTTCAGTCTCATATTGATTTTCCAGCCAATAGTAGTGAAGCACTGTGGCGAGGGACTATTGAACCTACTTCCCCAGGCTCAGAGCATGTTGTAGCCATTTAGCTGATTTCCTCATTATAAATTGGCTCAGCATCTTAAGGGAGTGTGGTATCTGAAGAAAAGGAGCAGCAGTATCTATATCTAAAGGTGCATAATGTTGGTGAGATCAGTCTCTCAGCAGAAGTCTTTATAGAGGTTTGCCTTTTAGCCTTTAGCTTAGAACACTAAAGAATTTGTAAGAGTAGTTTTAAAGCAAATACATCCAAAGTAAAGATACTAGTTGCAAAAATCTACACTAAATATTATTTGTGGAAACGGAAAATAACTAACAACTAAAAGATTTCGTTCTGTGCGTGAACCCTTTCAAAGCTGTATTCACTGCAGCACAAAGTGAGAGGAGATGATGGAGATATGAAAGGAATAAAAAGAAAAGCTGGTGAGTTGGCTTGTTTGTTCAGAGGATTGGAAGGAAATGAGGCAAAGAAGGGAGGGAATAATATAGAGGGCATCAAAATTATAGAGACAGACAGACAGACAGATGACAAGGTTGGCTGAATATATGCCATCAGAAGGATCAATACCTGGCAAGAGCATGATTAAAAATGCTGGCCACCTTTTTTCTCTCAGTAATTCTCAACATCTTTATACTCTGAAATAAACATAACAGTCTTCTCTTGAAGCTTTTATATCAAACAGCAAAGGGACTCCATTAGCTTTGTTTCTATATTGGTTTTTATTCTCACTCAGGTGTATTGATTGGAAAATTCCAGATCATCAAAGAAGATTTTGATCAAACAGGAGAAAAACTTTCTGAAGTTAAAACAGGGAAGAGGCCTGATAATGATTTGCTTTTCAATACTGTTTGTATATCGAGATAAAAAGCTTTTGAACATAGATCATCTGCAGAATAAATTATTTATAAGTTTAGCTATTTGTTTGAATCAGTTAGAAAAAATAAAACTCTCTGTGGCAAAGATAGTCAATCCACAAAAAAATGAACCCATTCATTCATTCATTCATTGACAATTATATTCATCAGTAATTTCAATAATCAGTTAAAACCAACAAACTACACTTTAAAGTTTAAATAATTGGTTTGCATTAAAATCCAAACTCAGTGTAAAAGGGAAATGTAACAACTTAAGTATCAAAATATAAAAAAGAAATGTCACCATCAATCCCCTAATAAATGCACAATAGGGAACAAGCATTTAAACTAGACTATGAGCTGAAATGGACTTGTACTCTGAGCTAGTTTGTTGTAGGGCTTTACAGTGTGAGTTCATTCTTGCATGTCTCTGCTGCCATATGATAGACTGATAACCTTTCTTGGGCGTACCCCCCCTTTCACTTATAGAATCCTGGAGATAGACACCAGAAAACCCACCCCCACTAGAGCGATTACTACTTCACAGTAAAAATTATGCATTAAGTTGGATAACATACCACAAATGACTTACTTTTGTAAACTAATTGATGACACACAGATATCTAGGCTCCTTTAAAAGGTGTTTAATCATTGTAGTTTTTTAGGGTTTGTGGAAAATGACCATAGAGAAGTAAAGATTTTAACTATTTTTGCAGATTTGTTCAGTTATCTGAATACTTTGTGGATTTCATGTCATGATATACATGATGTACATTCACTAAAAATTCTGGAGACATAGGACATGTAACAGCTAAGGAGGAACCTTATGGAATATGGTTCCTCCTTGGATTAACAAATACATTGCAAATATATTTTATTACAATGCAGAGCACTGAGTCTGATGTAATACGACTACAGCATATGAGGACAAACACCTAGTAGACTGACACGCTGCAGTCCCCACAACATGTTGCCCAAAAGTGGGTCATGCAGCAAAAAATCATCCCAAATAGAGCAGGAAATCTACAACTTAAAAACAAAATGATCAAACTCAAAACTTTAAACAGAAATAGTGGGACTGTAGAAGCTTTGCATCTACAAATACAGTCAAACCTGAGCTAACTGGAGCAATATCTAAGGGAGAATGAGCCAAATGTTAAATGAAAAAGCTGGAATCTGAGTGAGGAATCTTTAAGTCATTTAAATGCCGATAATCAATGTATTTCTTTGTTCCCAGATACCCTTGCAACATGTGAAGTGAGGTTTGTATCTGTTGTATTTGTGATTTATTTTAGATTTTTTTAGGCCAGGAACTCAGATTTGGTTATGACTTAGGAGTAGAATGGATCACATTTTATTAACAAGTCATAAAACGAGCTTGATTTAAAAGACGTGCACCAAGGCCAGACTAATTACTAAAACTATAACATTGTATTAGAATGAAATAGAAATACCCCCTAGCGTCCCCCTATCCAGCAGGTGATGGGACAACAGGGTCCTCACCTGTAATAGGTGTAATAGCAGCAAAGCATTCAGATACACACAAAGGTAAAACAAATATATAAAAAAATAAAAATTACAAAATGTTGAACAACAGAATGAACCACAATTGGAAACAAGTTCATGTTCACTTCAGTTTATCTCAGTGCAAACTTTATCTAAACTTTTTTCTTTAGATAAGCTGATGTAAATAATCAGTTCTTGCAAAAGACAGTATGTAAGATAAAATGTAAAATATAAACAGATGAACTACTCTTGGTGGTAGCAGTAGAGTGCATCCCTGTCAAAATCGAACAAGCAACAAAGACAAGGTTTGAAGGTAGCTGCTAGGAAAAGATGGTAATGATTTAGAATGAACTCAGGCGCTTTTCAAACTTTAAAACAGTAAAAACAAGAAAACTTGTTTACACCTTAGAATGTTATGCAACTCACTCCTTTTAGATGACGCAGCATTTCTCTGCTGCTGATATCAAAGAGAACAACCGCCCCTGTCAGGCGGTTGATATGCGACTGCTAACATTTTATGACTAAACATGAAGGTAAGAAGGAGATAGAGGATGAGGGGAAGCTAAAAATGGATTCCTGCAATTCAGGCCTTTCTATGTGCAGAAGTGAGCTGTGATGAATAGGGAAAAAATAGCAAAGGATTAAGGATAGAAGAAGAGAGAGATAACAGGAGAGTGACAGGTGAAGGAGGAGAAGGGATCAGGGAGGTGGAAGCACTCAGGGTGAATACGGGGAAGCAAGCGTGTAGATACCCATGTAGAGCTAAAAGCAGAGTTTAATGCTTCTTTGTGAAGTGTTTGTTACAGCCTAGGTGAGAACAGATTGTTTTCCACCAGCAGTCCTTTACAGAAGAGCTTTGAAAAAACTTTTGGTGCTATTTATGAGCTAAGAGATAGAAGCATATTATGGGGAAAAAACAAAAGCTTAATTTTTATTCCTTAACTATAAATAGAAAGTCGTTGTTCCTAAAATACATTTTAAAACTGCAATAAAGCTTTAGTTTCTTTTAATTCTGAGTGTTTGTATATTGTATGCCGTTTTTTTTTTGCTCTCACATGATTTCACTTTATGTTTAGAATCTAAAATTACCCTTAAAATGTTTAACTCAAAGACAGACATACCCCTTTGCATGTAAAAGAATACACTTTGTCATTTGCAGCATGGTATCACAGGATTATAATAATCAGATGTGTTCCATTGAAGTTCTACTTTATTGTTTAAAAGCTATGCAAAATCAAACAAGGGATTTAAATTTACCTAAAAACAGAGAAAAAAACACAATTTATCCCACTGCAAAATTAAAAGAAAATAAGATTTAGATATCAAGTTATTTTAAATGCAGTGTAGAAAGAAGGAATTCTGAAGAATTTTGCAAATAAGAGTAAGAAATAAAAAGCTCAGATAGGCATTACAATCTTTCCCATCTCATATTAGAAGAACACAAATCATAGTGCTTATGCTCTGAAACAATCTTTCTTCTTAATTGAAGAAAGTAATCTTTTGATCTTAAACAATAATAGTTATTAAAATATTACAAATGAGCAATAATAATAATAGCAAGTGTTTGAAATCAGAATAGTACAATGCACATAGCACACAAACATCATAAATTCTATAAAGTTAAGCTTGGTTACTCTCTACCTTGTTGGACTCCACATTTGTTGTCTCTTTTCTATGATTTAACATAATAAAAAGTTGTTTTTCTTTTTAACTATGATTTTGTTTAGTGGTGATGCTCTTGGATTAACCCTTAGCCTTTTCTGTGGTGATAGATTATATCAGATGAGTCATAATATCTGCTCTGTCCATCTTGTCTTCAGGTGAAAGTGATGGTGAGGGTGTGCCCCATGTCTCAGTCAGACGCAGCAGAGTCCAGCTCCTTCTTAAAAGTAGATCCCAGAAAGAAACAGATTACCATCATGGATCCATCAACAAATCAGGCCACAAGTTCCGCCTCTCAGAAAAGGACAGGAGCAAATCATGTTCCACCAAAGATGTTCACCTTTGATGCTGCCTTTCCTCCTGATGCATCACAGGTGAGTTTAAGAGTCTGGTGAAAACAAGGGGGTTAGAAACAGATTTTGGATTTAATTCTACTATAACACACAAATAATCAGTTTTAATTCTTAAAACTGTGCCTGAAACATTCCTAAAATCCCTACAGTAAACAACTGGTTGGTCTAATTTATTGACTAGATGTTAAAGGGTCTAATATGTTAGTTGTAAAGCACTGCATTACCTGGCAAAACTTGAACTTGACTTTGTGATTACATTTTCACTTTCTTTGAGCCCTTCTATGAGTTTACCATAAACTACAAGTTTGAAATATAAGTTTTGGATTGAAAAAGACACGACCTTTACAGTTTCTAGCCTTTTAAAAGCTTTAATGCATAAAATAGTAATGTCAAAAACAGCTGCTTGTTTTCATTTAAATCTAAGCATCTTTTTTAAGTTGTACAATCAGGCCTTATGATATCCGCTTTTTGTGTGGCAGATAAATTCAGAAGAAAGATCATTTGGAAAGTGGAAGGGAAAAGACAAAAGAAAGGGACAAAATGAATGAGAGCATACTGTGGTTAAAGGAGAACAAAATGTAGCTTTAAGGCCTATTTGGACAATTCTGGATGACACCCTCTATCATCCTAAACACACCAACCCCCATGGTTAAACGTAAGGGGGACAGAATCATGCTGTGGGAATGATTTTTGTAGAGACATGAAGTGGGTTTGAGTTAACAATAGGCTGGATTGAGCTACATGCAGAGCCACCTTGGTGGAGCACCTGCTAGCGACTGTGATAAAGGCTGACCTGGCAGCAGGAATACAATCATAGATATACAGCTAGAATCATAATGGAAAGGTTTAGATCAAAGCACACTCCTGGATTCTACCCCTGGATTTAGATTGGAATCTAAAAATCCAGGTTGTGAGCTGACAGAATCTTTGCAAAAATCCAGCCTCTAGATTTGCTAGACTTCTAGCCTGTAGTTGCAGCATGTATGGCTCTACAAGACTAGGGAGTTGATGCAAACTCAAAACAGCCTTTGAATTGTACAGCTTTAAAAACGTACCTCCTTATGATTTTACGCCAAAGTTATGTGTTGGAACATAATTAAATGTCAAAAGGTTAAGGTTGCAGGGTGTGCTTTGGTGTCACAGTGGTTAGCACACACAACCCATGGGTGGAGGCATTAGTCCTTGCCGCGCGCAACCCGGGTTCAAATCCGGCCTGTGGTCCTTTCCCGCATGTCTTTCCCCCTCTCTCATACAAATGTCAATATAAAAAAGCCACTAATGCTGTAAAAACTTAAAAAAAAAAAGGGTTAAGGTTGCATAATAATTTGATAATATGATGATGAATACAGTAAAATTTTTGGGTTTTTTACGCTTTTTTTTTTTGTCCTATTCATCATCGTCTGTTTGTTGCTAGGCGGAGGTGTGTGCAGGAACAGTGGCCGAGGTCATCCAGTCTGTGGTTAATGGAGCCGATGGCTGCATCTTCTGCTTTGGACACTCCAAGCTAGGTAACAACATCTCCAACACAAATTCCTAAGCTTCACAGTGAGAGCGCTTGTGAGTCATCCTTCACATGTGTGCCTCACTGTCACTGTGTCGGTCCTTCACTTGGCGACTTTCCTTCGTCTATCAGAGACAGAGGAGGATTAGTGCTTGCTCGGGCTGAAAGCTTTCTCAGTCTGCTCAGGCTGTGTTTCTGTCTTCCTCCTTTGCTCTTTAATCCTCCAGAAGCTGATTTTTAGAGAAGCTGTCTTAGAAAGTGTCAGGACACTTGACTGCACACAGCAACGCAATCTGAACCCAAACATGTGGCAGCATGAACAAAAGAATCACCAGCAAAGACACATTCTGACACACATTGGTTAACATTGCGTCATTTCTGTTGCGTTTATCTCTAAGCCTGTGAGTTGCATTATTAGCGATATTTTGTGATCTTGATACACAGCTAGTGTTTCCTATAAGGCTCTTTAAAATATGACTAAGGTTATAATCGTCACAACTTCAAATGTGTCTGTTCAGTGGGCAACTTGTCTGTGGCAACAGTTAAGGCCCCAGGAAAGATACAACCGGATCTTGTTTTGTTTAAAAATCCGTGTTTGGCCTTTGCCGGACATTCACTGTGCAAATTTTTCAATCGTCGCACGCAGCTGCAGCTCACGCTGTACGATAAAGCCACTGGGTTTTATCATACAGTGTAAGTTCACAGCTCACGATGTATTTTCTCACACTCTCACATCCGACGCTCTGATGCGATCTACCTGCTCACACTGTATGTAAAATAACAACGTCAGACTCAGCTCCGCAGTGAGATGGCGCTACTCGGACGCGTCTATCTGGAAGCCAAATGAGTAGAGGAATATGAAGCTCAACAGAGAGAAACACACTGCCTGGGCAATTTTTTGCAATTTTGTGTGCTGAAAGCCCTAAAAAGAAATGTATTTGGACAAAGACATGACTTAGAAAATGGCTACTGTGGTCTGTCAGTTTTACAGAAAGAACTCCATTTCACTCGCATCCCTGCCATGCTTCTGTGTTTTCATCTTAGAGGAAGAAGAAGAATTCTTGTTTGCACATGCCCACTGAGCGATTTGCCCATGACTGGCGACTGATTTTCTCCCAACCTCCCAACCTGATCAGAGGGTGGTCGTAAGAGGCGATCGAAAAATTCTCGCACGACTTGAAAATCATACAGTGTGTACCCAGCTTTAAATGGTGATTTCTTTTTGTTCTACACATGATTTAGACACATTTCTTCATTTAAAACACTATGTATTGGGAAAGTGGATCTCCACATAGACGTTTTGCTTTTGGCTGAGGCAGCAATTATCACCAATTTCCACATTTATCAATCCTGCAGTTCAGCACCTCTGCAAAAACAATGGAAAAATACATCAAGGTAGTCTGTTACTTTGCTCACTACCTAATATATTAATTTCACTTTCATACAACCCTTAAACATCCTGACATGGTAGTGAGGACATCTCTCTCTCTCTCACCCCCAAATCCAAATACAGATTAAAAACAGAGCAAATCTCAATCAGTCTGGAAAGGTTTACAATATCTTCTCAAAGGCTCCAGTAGTCCAGTCTACCACAGTGAGCGCATTTATCCCCAGTTTAGGAGAACATGTTTAAGTGGTACAGCAGATGTTGCTGGGGTTGGCCTGCCTAAAAGAATAACCCCAAGAAGCACCAGCAACTAATCCATGAGGTCCCAAAACAACTCAGAATAATGGCTACAATGGTTATAGATTTCTTAAAGTTCTGTTTACATGTCAAATTCCTTGATTGGATATTCTGATTGGTGTGTTGACATGGTGCATTTTTACTCTGATTGTCCTTTTATTCTAAATACTGTAATTATTTCCAAATAACCAGCTAATATTAAGGTAATTGGTTCTAACTTAGAACTGAGAAATAAACTGGCCGCTAAAATATACTACTGAGCAAAAAGAACACAATAGTCAATCCTTTATTTGCTCAAACATTTGTTGACGTTCCCCTGGAGTTATGGTGAATATTCTTTCAAGTGGTTAACTAAAAGTAGAGGTATTTGGAAGATGTGCAGAGACAAATGTAACAATCACAACTTTTCACAAATAAACACCGTACCCCCAATAATCACCCTGGTGTCCTTTAGGTTAACTCCTGACTTTAAATTGACTTCAGGAGTGTATGTATGTGTGTATTTATGTTTACCTATTGTTTTGTGATGGACTGAGGTGTGCTAAACTAATTCTATGAAACTGGAGGAATTATAATGGACAGTTTATCTAGATTAGTGTTTGAGGTTAATAAATTTTCTAACTGAAATGAAAAAATATAGAAAGTGTGTTATAATTAATTAGAAACGGCAATCATTCTGCAATGTATGACTATATCTGGATCTAATGTGACCTCTAATCTCCAGAGCACAGTTGTAAATGGCTCTGCTGGCACTTTTATATGCTTTAAAAAATATAACTTTTGTTGATTAATTTCTGAATCAATTTTAGTTTTATTACTATGACCAGGCATGGTTTTGGCTTAAAAAAAACTGCTTCTTTACCACCTCACCCAAGGCCATGAATCTTAATAGTGCTGCATTAAAATGAAATTACCTTTCTACTAATTAAAATGTTGAACGTAGCACAAAGAGTGTTTATCTTCAGCCCAGAAGCCCTGGGCTGTGTATTTATGACGGGGTAAGATAAAGTCAACTGGTACTTAACATTTTTACAGACAAGAAATTGTTTATGTTGAAAAAGTCCAATATTCTGGCATTAATAAACGCGTTATATTGCAATAATGTTGATTTTAAAGCCAAATATCATGTTTTTTTTTTCTATTTAACATCATCTACAGGGCTTTGCAAATTATTCATACCTGTAGAATATTTGGCATTTTGTCACACTGCAGCCAAAAACCTAAATGCATTTTAATAGAATTCAGGCAATGCAAGGCGAGTTTATTGATATAGCACATTTTAGTTGTAAGACAATTCAAAGTGCTGTGCATGAGGAAAAAAGAAGAAAGGTACATTGCAGTTGAATAGAGGTGACAAAAACAGTTAGATTAAAAGTTACACATTAAAATAAGATGATTATAAGGAAAAGGATAAAAATAATAAAAGAAATATATAAAAAAGTTAGACTGGGAATTTAACTAATAATGTTTAGATAACCTAGTCAAATACCACTCTAAACATTTCCGTTTCCTGTGAAATGCGGAGTTAGTGTAAAAAAATTTTTGGATTGGATGATGTGCTCCACTTTCTTTGTTTTGGTGAGGATGCGGGCAGCAGCATTCTGAATCAGACTAAAACCGACCTGTGAAGACACTATTGTCGCTATTCTATCGAAGGTGAATGCGTGAACTAGTTTTTCAGGATCCTGATGAGACATTAGTCACCTTATCCTGGAGATGTACTTTTGGTGGTTAAAGGCTGACTTTGTCACTGTTTTTGAAGGTTCATGTCAATTTCCATGACTACACCCACACTTTAACCCAGATTGGTGGTTTTTAGCTGTATTAACTAAAGCTCTGTGCTAACTTTTAAAATTCTCCCTGTGATTCAAAGCTCTTACTTCAGTTTTGCCTTAAATTACGTGAAAAAAGTTTTGGTACATCCTGGCGTTGACTTCCTCTCTACATTTCCCTCAGTACTTGAATGGGTTCACAGTCAATGGGTGACATTGCAATGTACAGCTGTGTGTCATCTGCATAATTATGGTAACATATGTCGCTTATTAAGATTTGAATTTGAGGAATCATGTAGATATTTGAAAAAAGGATCCCTAAGATGGACCTTGGAGAATGACCTGGAGGAAAACACCTGACAAAAAGGATACATAAACAAGGTTAAATGTTTCAGAACCACAATTCTTAAAGACGTGTTTCCTTACTATGTCTCTTTAGCCGACTGAGTCATTGGAAATAATGCTTTTAAAAATAACAGAAAAATAATCAGATTGGAAAAATCTGTTACAGACAATATTGAAATGTTTAGATCCTCAGTCATGACCAAGTCCAACAGGTCTCTGTTTGTGCATTTGCTGTTTAAGGTTTTTAATCAACTCAAAGTTTTTAAGGATATCACATACTTCTAATTCAACTCAGGATTGTCAATGTGAAAGTAGAAGTGTCCCACAATTGTTAAGCAATCCTATTCAACACGTCAGAGAGAAAAACTAATTGAAATGCCTGAAAAGGTTTGTCATGGACTTAGAAGACCTGTAAATATTCAAGCACATGGTTTAGAGCGGGCTCTTTACCTGGAGAGCCAAATATTCAAAAATGACCTTTCTACATTGAATCTTTAAACAATGTGGACACTTCTCCACATTTCCTTTGCTGTCCACTCTCACAAAGGACTTTATTGTGCGGAGGCATTGACTCTATGAGGAATGGGTGCCACAGTAAATAAATTTTATGTTACCATGTTTCTGTTAAAACCAAAACATTAAGATCATGGTCAGAATTGAAGTCAATTAAAATGGTTTTCCTGACAGAGATATTAAGGTTCTGTATATGACTTAATGGCTGGCATCACTTTTGTTTTTGGTCGTATCTCACAATTTATGACTGATCACAGAGATTTTACAACTATCTCCCATAAAGGGCCCTATTTTTTTCCTTGAGATTATATTTTCTGATAGATTTAGCATTGGCCCCTTGTCTAAATCATGCAGAGAATTTAATAGTTTTGATTTTGAGGAAATAGATTCGTAGGCGATGATGCTGTGCATCTCTTAGTAGATCCTGGTCTAGTAGGACTTGTACCATGACTGTATGAGGAGGACTTCAGGGTCATTTGGGTCTATTAAAAAACTTCTATTTTATATTGTTAAAGGACTGGTTCTCTGATTCTTTATCTGTTTGTTTGTCATATTAGTTCAGATGAACAGCTGAGTCTTGGTAGGTTTTCATATATTTATACATTTTTGAGTAGTCTATATATTTCCTTTCACTACAGATTAAGCACGTCTAAGTGTCGGTCTGTCACATAACATGTTTATGAAGAACATTTCTTTGTTTTCATATAACAAAATGCGCAAATTATAAAGAGATATTAATACTGAATGCCCTTAATGGTCATAGAAATCTTGTTTTTGTTCATTTTTTGCGCCTTGTTAAGGAAGTGATTGTAGCAGTATTTCTCTTCACTGTGACCAATAGTGAGGCATCCACATCATTAACACAAAGCAACTCAATGTACCGTATTTTCACGACCATAAGGCGCACCGTACTAAAAGGCGCAGTCTCAGTTATGTGTCCCATTTCTGTATTTAACACACACATAAGGCGCACCGGACTATAGGGCGCGTTTTTTATATACAGGTACATGTCCTCTACTACCTTTAAATACCTCTACTGTGTATTTAAAAATACAGCGGGGGCAAAACTGAGTATGACTGTGCTTTATTCATGTATTTATTACAAAGTATTAATCAAACCTGGCAGCTGGCCGTGAGACAGACACATCGCAGATGACACAGCGCTGTGATCACTCCTAAATTAACTTAAAATCCTGAAACCTGCCGACGGAATGTGTTCGCTTTTATGGGTGCCTGCAGTTTAAATTATTTAGATTAAAAACACCTGCCAGCAGCCGCGGTGAACCCGGAGGCTACCCTGCTTAGAGGCTGCTGATGAAAGGATTTCTCCTGTCGGCGCACCGCTGGTATGTGGGGGTCTGAGCGCCTCCGACAGAAATAGATAATCTGGATGAACTGAATGCAATTATTAAGTTTTCAGGTGGACTTTCTCACTTAAAAACATATTAAAACTACTTTATTCCCACTGATCACAGCAAATATAGCTGCAAGATTTAGATTATTTAGATGAAAAAACACCTGCCAGCCACCGCGCTGAAGAGGAGGAGACCCGGCCGAGAGGCTGCTGTTGAATTAAGTTTTCAGGTAGAAAAATAGAGCGGGAGCAAAACTGAGTATGATTGTGCTTTATTCATGTATTTATTACAAAGTATTAATCGAACCCATCAAAGTCATCATCCTCTGTTTCTGAATTAAACAGCTGCGCTAAATCAGACATGACAGTTTCCCATTCTTCGCTGTCAGTCACTTTCCGTGCAGCGCAGCTCCTCAGAAATAATGCCGGCTTTTGCAAAAGCTTGAACAACAGAGCCAGCAGACACGTTAGTCCAAGCATCTACAATCCATCCGCTAACGGTGGCGTAACTTGCCTGGCGCTGCCTTCCACTTATCGTGAAACTGTGGTCTCCGTCTGTCATCCATCGCTCCCACGCCGCTCGCAGCCTTACTTTGAACGGCCGCTTCACACCGATGTCGAGCGGTTGAAGTTCCTTTGTCAGACCCCCGGGATAACGGCGAGCACAGCGTCCATTTGATTCACCTTTTTTTTCACATCGGCTGTGAGATGGGCACGCAGTGATGGTGATGCGTGGAAAAAACCACCTGGTCTCCTCACATAGGCTACACCTCCCTCAGCTACGCTTTCATCATCTCCTCATCCATCCAGCCTTTTCCATTTGCGTTAATATCATATGTCATCAGAGCGATGTGTCTGTCTCGCTGTCAGCTCCCAGATCAGCTTCTCTGATTGGTTGATGCGGCGCGTCCAGCAGCAAAACTTCAATTTTTCCATCTCGAGCAGCAGCAGCGCGTTGGCAGATGCTTAAACGCTCCTGCTGCTCAAAACGCGCTGCAGGACCTTTTGCTGCACCTATACGCGCGTCAACCATTTACTTTGCATGTAAACTCGCTGCTTCTGCTGCACTTGCTGGGTCCGGTTCACACCGATGTCGAGCGGTTGAACAGCGAGCACAGGGTTAATTTGTTTCCCCATGTTTTTCACATCAGCTGTGAGATGGGCACGCATGGAGTTACATATTAACAGCGATGGTGATGAGTGGAAAAAAAAACACCTGGTCTCCTTACATTCAGCCACTCTTTCATCATCTCCTCAATGAGGTGGTCTCAAAAGTCGCAGTTACAACACACATAGGGCGCACCGCACCAAAGGGCGCACCGCACATTTTGAGGGAAAAAAAAGACGTTGAAGTGCGCCTTATAGTCGTGAAAATACGGTACTCATGGCTAATGCCTGAAGTACAACATTCCTACGCAGCTGTGTTAGTCGCTGAAGCAGTCAGCCAGAGAACCAAGACCTGACAGCAGCAGCATATGCAATGGCTATAGTCATATTCTGACCCATAGAATAAGACCTAAGAGGAAAAGACAAGAAGACAGAAGGGGGGGTTAGATAAAAACACTATGATGAAGTAAATCCATTTGATTCATCAAATCAGTGGTAGTGAAGTTGTTTAAATTTGACTTTTCTTTACAGCAGTGCTTTGGTTTTATTTATTAAAAAAATGTCCCAAATGTGAAATATACAATTGCTACTCCAAATAAAAGCTGACATTTTATAATTTGTCTCTTTCAGGTTTTATATCATATTCATTACATTTCATGCAGTGGTTTGGTGTTTTCAGTATAAATGCTTCAGGAGTCACTGAGGGAGAACAATGTAAAATCACAGCGTAGCTGACAGCCTCCCCTCCATCCTCATTCTGAACAAATGGAAAACATTTCTCTACGCAGCATTGCAGGAGTCAGCCTTTGATGTCCTCTGTTTTTCACATATGCCGTGGTTAGCTATGACATATGGCTTTGTTTAGGTGCGTGTTTGATCTCCTGATTCTGACAGCCTCAGCAGGTGTGGGAGGTGGATAATCATCGCCCTGCGACAAGAGAAGACTCAGATCCACTCAGACAAATATTTCATTCTTTCACCTTTTTCTTACTTATTTTCCACCAGGGGATGGAGGTTTATGATCTTCTTCTCCTTTTGTCTTTTTATGTGTCATCCAGGAAAATCGTACACAATGATTGGGCGTGATGACTCTCTTCAGACCCTGGGTATAATCCCCTGTGCCATCTCATGGCTTTTTAAACTCATCAATGAAAGAAAGGAGAAAACAGGAGCACGATTTTCTGTTCGTGTCTCTGCTGTGGAGGTGAGTGAGGAGAAGATCTGATCTGTTAATTGAAACATCACTGATACATCTAAAAAGTGTGCAGTCTGCTTTGTTCAAAGACTTATTGGAATAGCTTTTGTGGTCAATGCCATCAGTTGGTCAATTTTACATTTTTAAGCATTTATATTAAAACAAACTTTATAATTGTGGAGGATAAATGGAAATGCATAACCCTGTACCCACTCCCTAGAGGGAACGTCTATTAAATGCGTGGGAGAGCATGCACAAGCTCATTTCTCTTCATGCAAGCTCTGTTTAAAAGTTGCTGTTTTCATAGCTCATGCAACCTTACTGTGCCCAAACGTCTGCTCTAACCCCTAAATCCCTTAATCACTATATAGAAGGGGGACTATGTAGGGGACTTTATAGCAAACTCAGTTAACTTACTGTTCGGACAGATGATCACTACATATTCCTCCTCGTTGGTCTCGTAACTGCTCTTCCACCGCACCTTGCTTGCGCCATCTTTGTTATTAGTCACCACTTCCAGGTAGCGACAGCCTATGGGGACAGTAAATACCATAATGAGAGAGCTCTCTGTGCAAAGCATTCCGGGATATATCCTTCTTTTGTGTGGCTTTTCTTTTCTTCTCATAAACTCCCTAGACACTTTTTTATTATGACACTTGGCCATTTTCAAAGAACCGCGTAAGAAAGGTGAGCTTCAATGACTTTCTGAAACCTTGGCTCACCACAGATATAAGCCTGAAAGTGCACAGTGCGCAGTAAAAGATAGCTAAATGGGGACGAGCACATAGGACGATCCTACTTAGACATATCACCAGAAGGATTAACAATTAGGACGACCCTTATTTTGATGAACCACTTGGAAATAAAAGACCCATTAAGTGGAAAAAATAAGTGCCAAGGCTCTCCTTAATGAAATACAAATATGTGAAAGAAACATGGGTACTATTTTATACAGATATATTTATTGTAATGTCTACAAAAAAATTTAAAAATCCTACTCAAACACCTGTGTCTGATCCAAAGCAACCAGAGATTGGATGGAACTAAATGTTAATATTTTAGTTATGTCTGTAACATGCAGAACATTAAATTTAATTTTCTATTATGGTTTAATGGGGAAGTTTTGCCCCAACTTAAATATGGTGACAGAAAATGAGGTGTTATAAACTTTTGTCAATACACCTGTTTGTGTTCAGGTTTGGGGAAAGGAGGAAAACCTAAAGGATTTGCTGTCTGAAGTTGCCACAGGCAGCTTGCAGGATGGACAATCACCTGGAGTCTATCTCTGTGAAGACCCGATCTGTGGCATGCAGGTACTGCTGACAACAGCATTTGATATTTCAAATGGGATTATGTACAAGCGTTTATTTTTTATTTTTTTGCACGAAAACACTCTGAACTCACAACAGTTTCCATTAGGATTTCTTCTTAACTTTAGAAGTTGATAAATAGTGGTCTTTTGATAAGTGGGCAAACAAATCTGTATTATTTTGAAGGTATGTTTTGGATTAAAGTTACATCTGGACAACTCAAAGTTTGCCTCCACCCAACCCAACCCTGTTCTGCATGGTGATGATGTGTGTGCAGCAATCAAACTGGTCTTTTATTGGCTTATTCAATGGCTTTAGTAGAGCACACACTACAGTTAGCAATAAAAGCTGGATTACACCTACCTGATATAACCAAGACTTTTGAGGCAGCAAGACGTATTCTAAGTAATTTTTGGCAGCATCTCGCCTTTGAAACACAAAGTCTTGTACCTGAGTGGCCCTCGCAGCTTTTCAGATGCTCTATTAGAATAGTGATTAACGATGTTGATTGCTGCTCTAAGGTCCAGTATTACCAGCACGTTGTTACACATTCTCCATTTATAGAAAGGTCATTGAAGTAGAGCGGCTGGCAGGTGCAAATTTGTTTTGTTGATAGTAGGTTTTTGCTTCCATTTTCAGTGATAGCAAGCATTTTTGGTTTGTAGCGGGTTTTTTTTGTCTTTGCATGTTTAGGATATTGCATCATACTTGTTTTTTGCCACCTGCGTTCATATTTTTGAAACTCTAAATTTCTCCACCAAGACTTTTTCTTCTCAGTAATGACTAGGGCAAAGTAGAGGTAGAAGAGTAAATCTGGGTAAAGACATCATTTGCACTGTTATTAAAGATTTATTTTCTTATGCTCCTCCTTGGCAGACTATTGGCAGTTACTAGAAATTAAGTTTTCAAACATAAGAGAAAACTGTTACGGCAGGGTCACATCAGTGGTGGCTGGTGGAGTTTTAACCACTGGGGGCTATACATTCATAATATAGACGTAAAAAATTATATAAACACTTCATAAAAAAAAAACATAATGTCATGTACAGGTTTACTTTTAGTACAAAAGTTTTTTCCTTCAGAGGCTTTGTGAAGGCAAATCTGTGTTTTGCATGGTCCAATATTGTGTCACAAACCTAAAAAATAATGTACCACTTTAATAATGGAAAAGCTGTTAGTCAGTGTTACATTTTTTTGATATATAAAAAATAGCAATTAAAAATAAAAATCATGTCAGATTTATAGTCACCACACTGCAAATATATTAAAATCAGTCCTTAAAATACAGCCAAACCCATTTACACAGTAACAGATAAAAAAAATGTAGGTAGACCTAAATATAACATTACTCGCCGCATATCTGACTCAATAACCATTTAAAAAACTATTTTCATTAATTTCAGACGTAACTATTCACATACTTGCATTATATTAAACTGCCTGTGCTGGTGAAAAATTCTCAATCATCCAGGTCATAATCATTCTTGCAAGCCGAACAGACCCCGGTGCCGTGCTATGACATAATCGGCCTATGAATCTGGCATTCGGAGGATGCAGCCACTGAATTCAAACTCAGCTAAGGGGTAAACATTACTACGGCGGAAATACGTCACCAATACGATTTAAAAAATGAAATGACGCTTTACTCGCACTTACTTGCACATCTAAAAAATATATATCAATATATGTTGAAATATTTCCAAATTTAATTGATAAAAAATTTTTTATGTCTTAACCAGGGTCATTAGGTGGTTGGGGCAGCGCCCTGGCACCCTTTATTGGCCAGCCGCCACTGGGTCACATCATTTGGAAATATTTAGACGGGGCATGTCCGAAGCCTTTCTCGAGGGTCATTGTTCTGTACTTTTTATTTGCATCTCTGCTTTAACACACATCAATCAAATAATTAGGTAATTTGCAGAACTCTAGAGAACTTGAACTGAGGAGGCAATCAAGCCATTTGATTCAGGTGTGTTGGACCAGGAAGACATCTATAATTTGAAGGACTGGCGAGATTGACATCCCTGGTTTAGACTCTTAATGGCAACTAGGTACAAAATATGTATCTGTGCCTTTGCTGTTTAACATGTTTAGTCAATAGATAGATCATATAAATGCATTTTTTTTTATTTGAAAATGAAAGTCGTATGAATAATGTAAAAGGAGAAAAGGAAAGGCATGAATTATTTTATAGCTTTGGAATTGAACGTTTTCCTTTTTTTTGTCTTAAAAAGATGTATTCTATTAATTTTATTCCATTCGCTATGAAGTCAGAATTAAATAAAGCTTAGTTTTTAAATTATTGACAAATACGGTTATATTTGGATCTATTAAACACCGTCAGAAAGTTTTTTATAAGGTTTATGGCTCAACAGTTTTTCAAAACATTATTTCTACCACAAAAAAATTCTAATAAATTGTCCTGCCCAGGCTATTTTTTTTTTTTTTTTTTGTACATATGGCTCAAGTGTTTGTAGTAGTTTACATCTTGTTCCACTAACTTTATTAGAATTCACCTTTACAGGGACTGTTCTGTTGTTTAAAAATTGTATTTATTTTAAGTTTAACCTGACTATTTTTATTCGGTTTCTTTGTTTTGTTTTCCCTTTACCAGTGGTTATGCAATATCCCAGAAGAGGCTTTAAATATAGACAAAGGGGCTTTTTAACAATTGACTTTGACCATAAAGGACCACTTTAAGGTGGCACAAAAGTTTAACAGTCATTTAACTCACTACTTACTATCAGGTAAAACACACAGCAGTCTAATTATCTCTAAATACAAAGTGACATCAACACGAGAGCAGCAGAATGAATGCTGTTACAAGCTTATAGGATTAGAGGCTCCGATACAAACACATCTGTGTAATCCTTAACTAATCTAGCATAATCTCATCAGTAATGATATCCTGCAGCACAATGACACACATTTTCTTCTTACTGCTTTTTCATTTTATGAGTCATATACCTGCAGTAGAAACTTAGCAAGTTGAAGCTTCTAATGGTAGAGACCTATCAGCCCCATGTTTTTATCTACCAATTTTTCAGCTCCAGAATCAGTCTGAGCTCCGTGCTCCCACCCCAGAGAAGGCAGCCTGGTTCCTGGATGCAGCCATCGCAGCTCGCCACAGCAGCCAGCAGCCCAACACCACAGAGGAGGAACACAGGAACTCTCATATGCTCTTCACATTGCACATATACCAGTACCGCATGGAAAAGACAGGCAAAGGAGGGAGTAAGTACTCTGTCCTAAAAGACTGTTATTACTACTGAATTTTATTTTGCTGCTGCAGTCTGCTCAGTTCCTTGAAAAACTATTTTGCACTGAAATTTGATTTTCAGATCTTTCTGTCCAAAGTATGTCACTGTGTGATCTATTAATAATTATTCAGTGCTTAACATAACAGTTTGATAACACAATCACACTGCACCTGGCATGTGACTGTGAGTCTGACACTTCTGCTGCACAAATGGGGATGTGTGTATCTGTGTACTAGTACCACTGATCTCTATTTATTCCCTGGATTGCTGATTGCCTGAAAAAAGTGAAGCCACCTTCCGACATGCTTGTACTCCCCACTCCCACGGAGACATGCAGTAAAAATGCCTATATGTGTAGCATTTGGCTGCACAAACAAGCAGTTTGCCAGATGTGGGAAGACTTTCCACGGGTAATTTCACAGTCAGTGTATTTAATAACCAAGAAAATCCACATATATACCAATGTATCCTATAGTAGAGCATGTAGCGTAACATTAGTCTGGCTATCTCAGACTGAGTCGAAGATACTGATTAAATTAGCTATTGACGTTGTGTCTAATGTAAGATAATAGAAAGTAGAGTAAATAGAAAGTAATACTGTGAAATGTCAATGTAGTAGTTCATTATCAAGCTGATGAAACTGTCATTTTTGTAGTGTTGCATTTTTCATTTGAAAAAGTCAATATATTGCATGTTATATTGACAGAAACAAAGCAACTCAAGCAACTCAACTATATATATATATATATATATATATATATATATATATATATATATATATATATATATATATATATATATATATATACATATACATATATACATATATATATTAGGGGTGGGTATTGCCAAAGAAGTCACGATTCGATTCGAATCACGATTCACAGGCCACGATGCGATTCTATCGCGATGCATCACGATACTTGAATTATTGCGATGCATTGCAATATTTTCTCCTCCATGTTTTGTTTTTGAATGACTCGGCGCAGTAGAAATGCTTGTGACACAAGGCAGTGTGCATTAACACATCCGCAGCGACATCTACTGGACTGGAAGTTGTATTACACTTGTTTTTGGCTGATGTTCGCCAACCATTCATGCAATTTTATTTACTCATTTTTTTAAATAAATAATCGATACTTGGCGTCAAGAATCGATGCAGTAGATCATGAAAATTATAATCACGATGCATCATCATGACGATTATTTTGCACACCCCTAATATATATATTGCATGTATTACCAGACGTACGGTGTAATTACCATAGAAATGTAATAAATGCATTTATATTACATGTATATAATCAATTTAGCACTTTTATCACATCTGTATTATTATGCTCCATTAACACATTCATTCTTTAATGATGGATTTGTTTCAAACGTTACATTACATGACTTAGAGACTTCATTGACTTTATAATGACTATGCAATGTGATGTGCCTATTTTTTTATTATAAGTTAAAGTAATCTACTTATGCAATGAAACAGCAAGTGTGTGTCAAAGTGATGAATTTATCTTTATTTTAAAAGTCCTAAGTCCCCCTAAAAATGAAAACATAATTGTTATTCGATGCTGTAGAGCACATACTGTTTATATTACGACAGCTCTAACAAGGTACCAATATGGCGGCTGGCAGCTTCACTTCAACCCCATACTACCAACGGTCAATCAGCAATCCAGTGATTAAATGGAGATCAGTGAATAGTATTTGCTGCAAAGTAAGGTGTTTTTTGCACATTTTACTAGTAAAGGACTTTGATATAAATTGAGAACATTTTACTAGTTCTCACATTGTAATCTTAGGTTTAGAACTAAGGTGTTATTTAGGTTTTGGTAAGCATGAGGTATGTACCAGTAATGGTTAGGTTTAGGCTTACTAAAATGGTTAGGCTGTAGAAAAAGGAGAAAATGAATGGAAGTTAATGGCAGTGTATGAAAGGCCCCTACTCTCTATTTAAAGTTGTAAGGAAGTCATATTTAAATTTCAAGTCATTCTGGCTTAAACATGTATATAAATGTACTCTTTATCAGACCATATTGTCCCAAAAGATAGAAAATTTCTATATATAAAAAAAAGATAATAATTTTTTTTCTTCGTTATTTTATGCAGGCCAGTTAGTTATACTTCAGCTTGTACGTCTAAATTCGGCCAATCATATATCAAAGGTCATCTGTCAATCAACTTTTTCGGTAATAGCATCTTGATTCATATGTTGCAGCTAATATATGCAACGGTTGAAATAAGAATCATTTACGGAGGAGACTCATCCACGACCTCCGACACAAAACTCTCCTCCTCTTTCATATTTCTGCTGTCCATAGCGTTCCTGGACAGTGTTGTTTCTAATTCACCAATTTAGTGCTACTTGGTCCCAATGTAATTTCCCATTGGGAACCTACTAGCACTAAGTTGCTAACTGGTTAGCAAGATGCTTCCTACAAACCGGCCACAACCAAACTTGCTTGCAAACCTTCTGCCACAACAATCCCGCCCCCTTGATAATCAACCAATCACATTCACTTCATTCACTCGTGTAAAGTTGGGCACAACTCGGGAGAATTCAGAAATTCAACAGTTGGAACAGCCGCTTCCCAACAACTTTAGGGCCAAAAAGTGGCCTGTGTAGTCACTACAGTTATTTAGCACTCCCTCAAATAGGGTAACCCCCCCAAAAAAAGAGATTCAAGACACTGTGTCTGATACAAACACAGAGAGCTATTATTGATTCAACATATACTTGAGCAACATAAATTCTATAGTCTTTTTGCCCACTTCAAATAGGAATACCAGTATTGCTGTTTGGCTACAGGTAGAGCTTTTTCAGGGTCTTTATGGCTGCAGGAATAGGAACTCATCATCCCTTGCATCCTTGTCAGCATGCTTTCTAGTATGTATATTTTAATGCTAACCAGCAGTTCTGAGGGTTTAGCTCTCCTTAGCTTCCTTTAAGGCACTGATATATTTAGTCTCTTTCTTTGTCAGTAGTTAATTGCCTGTGATTTGTTTTTGCCCTAAAAGGCACAGTTTTTTGGTCTATTTGGTTTTCAAAATCGAATGGTTGGTGTCACACTATGCTGATACTTTCAGGATCTTTTTTCTAATATCCAGTTTAACTGGTAATCTATGAATGAGTTAAAATTGTTGAAAACGATGAGGTCACAGCACAGAGCCCTGTAGCCCTCCTTTGCTAATGGTAAGGATGCAGAATTGACCATTCAACCTGACCGTTTCAGTCAAAGATGGAAGAAGAGAGATGTGAACATTAAGATATTGGTTGTCCAATATTAATATACTGGTAACATAAACGTGTCTAATTCAATTAATTAAAACATCAAAACATTTAAATTCAGTTATTGTATTATTTCTAGGACAACATTGTCACCTTTGTTTGTCAATGTTCTCTGTCTGCTTTTACCATTGAACTGTTTTTCACATATTTTAGTGTCCGGAGGTCGTAGTCGCCTTCATCTACTGGACCTGGGAAGCTGTGATGTTAAAGTACTCGGAGGAGGAGGTGGAAAAAGCAAAGAGAACTCTTCACCAAGCTCAGCTCCTCTGTGTCTTTCTCTGTCTGCTCTTGGAAACGTGATCCTGGCCCTGGTCAATGGGAGCAAGCACATTCCATACAAGTAGGTTTCTGTGCTAAAATAAATTGATTGGAAACTGAAGAGGAGAAAAGAAGAGGGAAAATTAGCAAATGTGTGAGATAAATGTGGTGAAGAGCGAGGTAGGAGTAGGAGGGCTGAGAGATGAGAGGAAATCGGAGAGCAGTTTTCTTTTGGTGCTTCAGGTTTGAAGGAACTTAACGTTTTAAACAACAACAGATGCTGTTCCATATTCATGAGTTAAAATGTTCTGATTTACAGACTGGCACGGAATGTAGACATAAAAAAAAATCCAGCTAAAAGCTATTTAGAAAAAAGACAGATAAGGGGGAAATAAAGAAAAATCTTAAGCATGCAAAAAGAGGATTAACATAAAGTGAAAGACATTACTGACTTTTGAATGACTTTAAATCACAATAAAATACCTTATATCCAAAGGAAAGGATAAATATAAGAAGAAAAAACAAATAAATAATCTAACATAGATATTTTCCTAACTGTTGAGCAAAAATAAAAAGAGGGAATTATTAATAAACACAAATAACTGCATAAAGAAAAACGGTCAAAAAGCGAATTAAATTAGCATTTTTATGTATTGCTGACAGAGGCAGTGTAAATATGAAGCCATAAATATCCATCTTTTTCCTTAGTTGAACTCTTTATTCTCTTCCTTATATCTCTCCACCTATTTTAAAGCTGCATAACTCTGCGTTCGTTACTTGGTTAACAACACAATCTATTGCTTACATAACCATTTAGGATGCACACAGATCTCTGTCTTGTGACTCAGACCCTTCTTGGCATGGAAGGGGGATTAGTTTCAAGGGCATGAATCATATTTGCAACTACTCCTTTTCAACTGTGTCCACCCTTGTAGCTCATGATAGCTGAATTCATTTTCTTGATGTAGTGAAATATGTAAAACAAAAACCACCAAAGAAAGAAAGCAAATCCAAAGCAGCTAAAAAGAAACGAAAGTGTGATGACCTTAGATGAAGAACATCAGAAATCTAACTCAGACGTCCATCCCCTGTGTCCACGTCAAAAGCAGTGAATACAGTCTCTCACTTGATTTTAAGAACATAAGGTGAAGATTCAGATGTTATCAGGCAGCAGCTGCAGAGAACTGTCACATACAAATGCAGAAACAATCTGAAAGTACATAAGCATACTTTTAAATAATATGGCAGCGTGTAGAACAGTCACGGTTAACTTGAACCATTCTGTAAGGGTTTGCAACTCTTACAGAAGGTGCATATTTAATAACATCACTAACAATAAAATCAACTATAACAACGTCGTAGATAAACTCAACAAAAATATAGCTATGTTAAATACTCCTCATCCTGGTGAGCTGCTGCTCAGACAGGCTACTGCTGATGTTTTCTGAATCCTAAAGAGGAAAGCAGCCACCCCGGATTAGATTACAGGAAAGGTTCCGGTGTTCTCAGTGTTTCTAGCCCAGGTTGCAGTGGGACCATCATGCCTCAAAACCTGCAACAGCACCTTTACCAAAAAAGCCCACTGTCCCTTCACGACTACCGCCTAGTTGCACTCCTATCGCCATAAAGTGCTTTAAAAAGGCTAGTAAGGGATTATAGCCTCCCCACATTTGATCCATACCAGTTTGCTTTGCAATACAATGAGGTTGCAACTCCCCAAATAAACAAACACTATGAACAGATGTTGTTGCTGGACTTCATTGACTAAAATCATCCTACAGCACCTTTTGAGCAGACTGGATACTTCATGAGCTTTCCTTGAAGTCGAAGCCGGGGGACAGGAACTCCTCTAGTTTTATTTCTCTCAGCACTCGTTACAATGAAAGTGCTTAAATTTGCATCTGTTCACATTGATGAGACCACTGTTGTCAATTTACCGACCACTATGTTGAAGGATGACACAACAGTAGTGGAACTTATCCCTGATGATCATGACACTCGCTACAGTAAGCAGAAGAAATACCTGCAGGCCTTTTGCATCACCTACAAAATCCTGAGTGTTAAAAAGAGGAAGCAGTGAAAGTTCACTTCAGGAGGAGTCTCCCGACCTCCACACAAGCAGATTCACAATTTTACAAAAAGACACTGTCTTTCTAGTGCTCAGAATTTATCCTAAGAGGCCCCCCAACCACACCACAAACTGTTCCCATTTCTGAGAGATCTAATCCAACATGTTCAGCTCTTGAATTAATATTCAAATGAATACTTCATGAGTCATGAGTTTACCTACATTAATCTCAGGAAGCTATATAGAGATAGAGGCAGATTTAGATAAAGAAAGAAGGGCTTGTTTAAGCCTGAGGCAGAAGAGAATAGAAAGAAAGCAGTGATGAAATAGAGGAGGTCAGAACAGCAGTGTGTTCATGCTTAGTGTGTGCATATTATTGCATGCATGACTGCAGGGTGTGTTTTTTTACAAAAAAGGACAACAGCATGAGTTAACGGGACACAGAGGAGCTGTGTTCTGTCAACCTTCAGGTTTTAAGCACACTCACACACAGATCTAAGCAAGAAATGATCGCAGTGGGCCACCCATGAAAAAGTATTTCATTAAACACACAGCCTAGATTTACTCCTTTCCATATGGTAATATAAACCTCTCTGGGAGCTAGAGCAAATTTCAATATTAAACTTTATCCCTAAAAGGCGTTGTGTAGAAAAGGTACTCTGGTAAGATGAGAAAAAAATAAATTTTATTTTATCTGATATCTAAAAAAGTTTAGCAGATGATAAACACTGTATTTCATCCTTAACAGGCACTGTTCCCTTTGCAAAAGATAGTTGGATATGTTTTTCTGCAGCAGGGGCATCAAAGCTGTTCAAAAGTGATGGATGTGAAATACAGGACTATACTGGAAAAAAAGAAACTCTGGTAAAAGCTGCAGAAAACTTGAAGCTGGGTTAAAAGTTAATTTTTCAGCATAAAAAATATCCCAAGCATACAGTCAGAGTTACAATGATGGCAGTATAGACATGATTAAAATGGTTCAGTCAAACCTCAGACGCAAGTACAAAACATTAGAGATGCTCTTCATTTACTCTATCTTAGCCTGAGCTGGTTTTTAAACAACAGTGGTCCAAAATAAAAAACTAAAGAAAAAAGACCAGGGCCCATATTCACATAGGATCCTAAACCCAGAAGTAGCTTTTAGCGGCATCATTTTAGGAAAGATCTTATCTAATCCTGAAGTGATCAAATGTTGAAAGTATAAGAATGACTTTTAGCAAGGTTAATGATGTCCTAACCAGCGAAGATGGAGGAAAGAGAAAAAGCAGTATGTATTTATGTTATTAATGTGGAAATCACATTAACTTAATCATAGACATGGGGGGCATTAACTAGTTTTAGTGATCAGACATGTTATAGGGGTGTCTGAAGTGACATAATTTTATTGATAATTTAATAGGTAAAATGTTGAGTAATTATGAATAAAAAGTGAAAACATCTATAAAAAATACAGTGCAGAGGAACTTCAATGTTGTAAAATACTCTACAAATGTTTTTTTAGTAATTTGGTACCCAAATGTTGCAGGAAAATATATACATAAATAGACTTATAAAATAAAGTACATTGAGATACAATTTAGAAGATGTGAAAGAGGTTTCAAAGTATGTGCTGTATTGTACATGATGATAATAGTATCCATAGAATAAACATCTATCTAGAAATCTGCAGTGTCACTTACTTCCAAGGCTGGTACTGAAAAGGAGAGGAAAGCAGGGAGAAAAAATCTGCATCTTCTTGCCATGACCAGTTTACCATAAAAAAACAGCCAGTGCTCCTTTCTTCAGCTCAGTTTTCTCCACTGGTTTTTTCGATTTCATGTTGGTAATTTTTCCAAATTAAACCTTTTTATACAAGCAAAAAAAAAAAGTAAATGTTTTTTTGTTAAGTTCTCATTAATATATCAAATAGATGCAGCGAGTAAACATAACAACAAACAAATTAAAATAATGAGAATGTGTAAAAACATTTTTATGCTGTGGGACAATTTAATTTAGCTACATGGCATCACCATGTCACACATTCAAAATCCAGTTGGAATTATATGAGAGGTCAATTTCTCTACATTGATTAGTAGGAGCAAAGTTTGTTGTTTGTTTCTTGTGTTAATGAAGAACAGAGTCACACCAACAATTCGGTTGAGTCTTTACTAAGAGCTGGTCTTAGCAACTATTAGGATCACTCTTAAGCTGGGACTCCTTTTTTTGTAGTTTAAAATATGAGCTCTCTGAGAGGATTCTGAGTCTTTGTGAATGAGGGCCTGAAAATGTATCTGCAGTGGAAGATGGCTCTAGAAATATGAACTCTGGGAGCATGTCTTACACGTTTCCCATTTTTATTTATACATTTATTCATTTAAATGATCAATTTCCATACCTCAACAATTGTAAAGTATATATATATATACCTCTTCTCTAGTTATACATCTATTAAGGAGCACCACCGCAGGTCATCCATCCCTGCTGCCATCAGACTTTACAATGCGACACTATAACGGCAATAACTTGTGCAATAACTTGTGCAATATCTAATGTGCAATTACCATTTAATACCCTGTGCAATAACCTGTTTTTATACCCAGTGCAATAGCTATATATCTAAATATATATATATGTGTGTGTGTGTGTGTGTGTGTGTGTGTGTGTGTGTGTGTGTGTGTGTGTGTGTGTGTGTGTGTGTGTGTGTGTGTGTGTGTGTGTGTGTGTGTGTGTGTGTGTGTGTGTGTGGAAGCACTGTATAAAACTGTATATACCCTCTTGGGGTGTAAGTCACACCAATCATGGCGATTCGATTCAGTATCAATTTTCTGCCCCAGCAATTTTATTGTTTTTGATACTCAAGAATACACCACGATTCGATACATTTATTGGTTGATTTTTTTTTTTTTTACGTTACAAGCTAGATACCATTTGAAATGTGAAATAAATCATTGAAAGTCGTAATATCGTTATGGAATTTATTTGAGAAACAACAGCAAATAACAGAAATAGCAAAGTTGTACTCGACCTAGGCCTATGAAAACCTCATTCAATGAAAAATAATAAAGCCCTTTTATACATTCTGAAAGGCCTTGCATCAAAAAATACTGCAAGTGGAAAGAGGGTAGTGGCTAAAGGAAGCGAGGTAGGAGGGCAAAATTGGTTTAGCACCACCGCAGCATGGGAGTCAGAATTACGTCCAGGAGCAAATGGAAAAAAAATAGATCGGAGGAAAAAAAACAACATGAATAGATACTCTTGCAGACGTGTCGATGCATCGGATCTTCGGCTGTTGGATTGATGCATTGATAAAAAACAATTATTATTTACACCCCTAATACCCTCATCCACCTTTTCCTCCTCTTTGCACCTCTTTTTCTTTTTGACTATTGAGCCAGTGTAACGGGTAAATTTCTCCACTGTGAGATCCATAAAGTCAATCAATCAATACAGACGACTCAGCAAGCTTTTATATTAACGTCACATTTTCCAGACTGCACCTATAATGCTCACTCACCAACACCAGATAAATTGACACCTTGAGGTTTGGGAATTGCATGAGACCTAATTAACATGTGGTAAGAGAAGAGGAAATCAAACTGACAAACTTTTAATTTCCAGGCAACACATCTTTCCACTAATCCAATGACTCTATAGAATTGCTTTGATCTGTCATTTAAAATCCGAATAAAAAATACATGGACATGTGTGGGTATAAAGCAACCTGTGAAAAAGTTGAAGAGGTCTGAATACTTTTACAAGGTACTGTGTGTACGTAGTTCAGTTTGAATTTGCTGTTAATGTCAGAAGAACAAGGACCCCTGCTTCATTCATTATGTCGTACACATATATGAATTTCAAACCTGTCTTCACTGCTCACATCTCATCTATACATGTAACCAGGGACAGCAAGCTGACCATGTTGCTAAGGGAGTCGCTAGGCAACATGAACTGCAGGACCACCATGATTGCTCACATCTCCGCCTCACCCAGAGATTTCTCAGAAACCCTCTCCACCATCCAGATTGCCTCACGCGTCCTCCGCATGAAAAAGAAGAAAACTAAAGTAACTGTGGTAAGTTTGCTTCTTAAAATATAGAGATTTTTCTTCTGAGAAGAAAAAAACTGAGACTTGAACATGGGCTATTAATGTCTCGCTATTTTTCAACCATAATTTTATTTTGAAAAGTACTTGTAGCACTATATCACCTTGTTCAACTAAAATTCAGTAAAGTTGTCAGTCAAAAATCTGCTCTGAATTATACCCTTAGCTACTGTACTGCAGATTGCATGTTTTACGCTCAGACATTCCTGAGGGGAACTATGTTTCTAAAGCTATGTTTCTAAAGAAGTCTTTTAAAAACATAATGTTCATGTTACGTTAAAATGGATGTAGTTTAATACATTGTTTATTTATGTACAACTGCTCTTTTAGTAGCTGTTAAGCAGAGAACAAAATGTTAATATCTAAAGGCCAAAAACCACTGAAAACAAGATTTCAGATGCAAGATCTTTCCAGTAGATGGACCTGATCTTTAATCTTTTTAGGAGGCTTAATTTATTGATTAATCTATTTACTGTATGTGCATATATTCTAAAATGAGCTAAACAGATTAACTTTTTTAGTATCATGTGTTTTGTAATTCTCAATCAAATCTCCATGTTATTATTACTGCTATCATATGCAAAAATATTAATACAGCTTTATTTTGTTAGACGAATATGTCACATATGCTGTTTTATTTGCCAGGTTTGTGCACACAAAGAACTAATTTATTTACACTTCACTCCCATTGAGGACATGTCAGATATGAATATATAAAAAGAATATATCATGAAAAAAGATAACATTTCATTTAAAAGCAAAATTATATTAATCAAACTACCACTTTTAAATTAATGTTAAATTTGTTAGTTTTTTATGGATAAAAAATTTATTAAACATGTTTGTCGTTAAGAAATATTGATGTGAAGGTTATAGCGGGAACGAGAAAACCCAGCTGACTTTGAGCCTCATAAGCTAATTAAAGCTGCTTAGTTTGACCAGTTTACTGTTTCTTTTATGGACAGACGTGCTCACTATCGCAATTGTTTGTTTTTTAACCTATATAACTTAGAAAGGAAATGATATGGATGGTTGCCCTCCTGTCTTTTTTTTTTTCCAATAAGATTTGATACAAGAACTTTGGCTTTTTCTAGGTGAGAGTAACGGTTAGTGTCAGGTTAGTGGTGCCACAGGTTGTGCCACAGTTTGAAATCTAGAAAATGTAAGGTACACAGCAATTGTAGTTTTTAAAGTTACTTTGCAACAAGATACGGGTCTGAAGCTGCTTCGGGAGCCTTTTTCTTTATTAAGATTTAGGGCTCTTGCAAGTTCAGTGAAGAGGACAATGAAAAACAAATGTAAAAGATTTTAACTCTCTTTATCACCATCTTTTTGCAGCAATATACATCAAGCTCCTCTGGAGGAGAAAGCTCCTGTGAGGAGGGTCGCATGCGTCGTCCAACCCACCTACGACCTTTCCATCACCGTGGTGACACTGACTCTGAATTGCCACTGCTAAGACTATCCAGTGACCCTGACGAGTACTCGAGCAGCGAGCAGTCTTGTGACACTGTTATCTACGTGGGCCCAAATGGGGCGCCTGTGTCCGACAGAGAGCTGACAGACAACGAGGGACCTCCAGAGGTTGTGCCGATTGTCCCAGCTTTGCTCCGAGGGAAAACGCCTGAGCACCATCAAACACATGGTCAAGGTCAAACAGCTGGAGTCCAGAACAAGGTCAGAGGATTATACAGCTTAAACTAGAACTATATGTACTCTCTAAAACAGATACGTTTATAAAAGAATTTACATATTCAATTTTTCTGTTTTCGGTTAGTAAGGATTATCTAAATTATTTTTACATGCTAAATGCCAGGTGGAGAAAAATTTATACAAATTTTGGAAAAATGTGTTTGATTTGGTTGATTGTTTTTAAAGGTCAGATGTCAGCATACATTAACCCTTTAAAGCCCGATCCAAGAATAAAACAAAACAGAAAATTACTTTTTTTTTGGTTTGAAGTCCTTATTTGGCCTTTTAACAAAATATGTAAAAAGAAAAAATAGAAATACATTTTTGATATTAATAATTTATTACTATGCAATAAGTCAAGATTATTTTTTGTGTAGTCTTCTGCCCTCTGTTATCAGGTATATCTGATTGTGTACAATAGGATTTTGAGCAAAGTTTTTACCATTAAATTATGCAAAAGGTGTCAGACGCAAAACATTTCAGAAACCGTATGTATCAAATATGATACATTTGGCATTACAGGGTTAAGGTTATTCTTCCATTTGGGAAATCCTAGATTATAATTTCATGCCTTATGATTGGTTTAAGGACAATTTTTTTGTCAATGGAGATACAGTTTGATTTATCTACCTTAAAAGCACGGCCACCTTCAGTGACATCATGGAAAAATATTGAAACATTTTATGCAAATCATGCACAGAACCCCAATGCATGAGCAAAAGACACAAAGATTCTGGCAGAAGCTGGTAACAGAGAGATGTCATGCACCAATTGGCTGCCAGCAGCTCAACAAGGAACAATCCACTACCCCAAAAGCAAATATCAGATTCAAGCTTGTCAGTGCACTTATTGACAAGGGGTATGATGAAATTAAAGTTCATGTACATTTGGAACAATCATTTTGAAAAATCTGTCAGAGTTGAAAAGGTGAGTGAAAGTTCTGCATCATGCAAACCTGACTCAGTTGCAGCAGTTATGTCAGGAGGAGTGGGCCAAATTTGTAAAAAAATAAAATAAACCAGTGGTTCCCAAACTTCTTTTGCTGGGCCCCAATATGGGTTACCAGAACACTTCTGGACCCCACTAAATTAATCCAACCTACCTTTTAAAAAGTTAAATCGTTAAGATTAAAGCGCAGTAGATGATATTTTAAAGTTAAAGAAACAACAAAGCCTACATTTTCCTTTAAACTGCAAGAAAACATCCTTTAAAATGTAATAATTTTAAATTAAACTATGTAGCAGATTTTACCATTGCTATCAATACATAAAAAATTTGCAAAAGGGATCATGTATTCAATTTATCTCTTAAAGGTTCCCTATGTGGCCAAAACGATTGTCATTAATACCAAAAATATCTGTTGCCAACTGCATACACATTAGAGTTATAATAACTATCTGCATCAAGGAACGTATATGATTTAAAGAGGGACTGTAAGATTCATATCTCTATTGTCTCTGTTCCTATACTTAAAGTCTCAGATAGACGAACAGTCCGGCGGCCCAGCCCAACCACAGCCATCTCAGTCTCTGGTAGGTCAACCGTTGGCCCCTGTCCCAGAGGAAGGAGCTGAATGTCTCAAATGCAACACTTTTGCTGAGCTGCAGGAGAGACTGGACTGCATTGACGGCAGTGAAGAGGTGACAATCACTATATACTGTCTGTATATTACCAAAGGTTAAAATACAATCTTGGTTATATTTTAACTTACTGAACATCGATCCAAGCAGGGCATTTTTTCTTAAATTGTTAGAGATTTTCTGATCGTAAATACGTTATGTTATGTTTTTACCATCAAAAAGATTTTCTTGTCCTACCAAGGTAGGCTCGCCAAGTCTCATTTTTTTCTACGTTTTTTTTTTTTTTTTTTTTTAAGTTGAATGCTTCATTTACTCAAAATTGGATTCTTTATTCAAATCAGGTTCTATGTTTATTTAGACATAGTCATCAAAAAACATCTTGGATAATATCCTAAAAGAAGGGTAGGTTTATTTATTTATTTATTAAAGAGGTTACCCTTCCCATTTCTGCAGGTGGCAAAATTTCCTTTTGAAGAGGTTCAAACGAGCAAACCAGGTGCCAAACTAGAGCCATGTCCTTCCTCATGTACTCCTGGCTCTGTAGAAGGGCTGGAAACAGAGGCCAAAATAGGTATTTCATAAGTAGTTTAAATTATTAACTCCTCAAAGTGTTTTATCACCTGGCATGTTCAAAAACAATGGTTCTCCTTTTTCTCAGCAGCAGCCTCTAGGAGAAGAAGCAATGACCAGCAGCTTCAGGAGATCAAGGAGGTGGTGGAGGAGGCAGAACTGGCCCAGACAATGATCCACAGCTTAGCTCAGGCCACCGGCTCCCCATTGGTCACCAGTTCAAGGAGCATTACTGGAAGCAGTAACATCTCCCCCAACCCCTTACACAGAGCCAAGAGCTCTCAGCTACATAACAGGTGAGGACTAGCATTGTGATTTCCAGCTTTATATGCTGACATTAAGATGTTTTTAGCCATTCTTTGCTGAATATTTGACACAAACTGTCACTTTTCACAGCTGTGAAAATGTAAATGTAGTCGGTAATACTGAGGTGAAGGGTCGTCCTCTAGGATCACCACGCTTGGGCATCGCAAGCCTGACAAAAACTTCAGACTACAGGTGAAGCATGCTTAAAATTCAAACAATACCTTAATTACATTCAGCATTCCCTTTGCTGTGATAATCTTTTATTATCACAGCAATATATATATATATATATATATATATATATATATATATATATATATATATATATATATATATATATATATATAGGAAGAGAAAAAAATTTTTGTAATTATTTTTCCCTTCCCAGGCCTCCATCTTCCCCATCACAGCGATGTAAGGTGTACACTCAGAAGGGTGTGACTCCAGCAACACCCTCAGTGTCCTCACACACCCTAGCTCAGGATGGCCAGGCTACCGATGCTTTGACCTCTGACAGTAATTATTTTTCTGTTAAATAAAATCTATTTTTGACAAATACAGGTGCTGGTCATAAAATTAGAATATCATGAAAAAGTAGATTGATTTCAGTAATTCCATTTAAAAAGTGAAACTTGTATATTATATTCATACATTACATACAAACTCATATATTTCAGATGTTTATTTTGTTTAATTTTGATGATTACAAATGACAACAAATGAAAATCTCAAATTCATCATATCAGAAAATTAGAATATTACTGAAGACCAATAAAAACAAAGGATTTATAGAAATGTTGGCCAACTGAAAAGTATGAACATGAAAAGTATGAGCATGTACAGCACTCAGTATTTAGTTGGGCCTCCTTTGGCCTGTATTACTGCAGCAATGCGGCGTGGCATGGAGTCGATCAGTCTGTGGCACTGCTCAGGTGTTATGATAGCCCAGGTTGCTCTAATAGTGGCTTTTAGCTCTTCTGAATTGTTGGGTCTGGTGTATTGCATCTTCTTCTTCACAATACCCCATAGATTTTCTATGGGGTTAAGGTCAGGAGAGTTTGCTGGCCAATTAAGAACAGGGATACCATGGTCCTTCAACCAGGTACTGGTAGCTTTGGCACTGTGTGCAGGTGCCAAGTCCTGTTGGAAAATGAAATCTGCATCTCCAAAAAGTTGGTCAGCTGCAGGAAGCATGAAGTGCTCTAAAACTTCCTGGTATGTGGCTGCGTTGACCCTGGACCTCAGAAAACACAATGGACCAACACCAGCAGATGACATGGCACCCCAAACCATCACTGACTGTGGAAACTTTACACTGGACTTCAAGCAACGTGGATGAAGTGCCTCTCTTCTTTTCCTCCAGACTCTGGGACCTTGATTTCCAAAGGAAATGCAAAATTTACTTTCATCAGAGAACATGACTTTGGACCACTCACCAGCAGTCCAGTCCTGTTTCTCTTTAGACGCTTCTGACGCTGTCTGTGGTTCAAGAGTGGCTTGACACAAGGAATGCGACAGCAGAAACCCATGTCTTTCATACGTCTGTGTGTGGTGGTTCTTGAAGCACTCACTCCAGCTGCAGTCCACTCTTTGTGAATCTCCCCCACATTTTTGAATGGGTTTTGTTTCACAATCCTCTCCAGGGTGCGGTTATCTCTCTTGCTTGTACACTTTTTTCGACCACATCTTTTCCTTCCCTTCGCCTCTCTATTAATGTGCTTGGACACTGAGCTCTGTGAACAGCCAGCCTCTTTAGCGATGACCTTTTGTGTCTTGCCCTCCTTGTGCAAGGTGTCGATGGTCGTCTTTTGGACAACTGTCAAGTCAGCAGTCTTCCCCATGATTGTGTAGCCTATAGAACTAGACTGAAAGACCATTTAAAGGCTTTTGCAGGTGGTTTGAGTTAATTAGCTGATTAGAGTGTGGCACCAGGGGCCATCAATTTTGAACCTTTTCACAATATTCTAATTTTCTGATATGATGAATTTGAGATTTTCATTTGTTGTCATTTGTAATCATCAAAATTAAACAAAATAAACATCTGAAATATATGAGTTTGTATGTAATGTATGAATATAATATACAAGTTTCACTTTTTAAATGGAATTACTGAAATCAATCTACTTTTTCATGATATTCTAATTTTATGACCAGCACCTGTATATGCACTATCTGTCTAAGTTCTCAAATCATAGCATGTTTGCATATTGAAACTAAGAAACAGATTTCATTGCACTGCTCACTGCGTTCCTCTGACTCTGCAGACAGTTTGGCTGCAGACAGTGGCCGCTCCTCCACAGAGTCCGTGCTTTCCAGGACCTCTCCTGCAGGCATGAGCCCACAAGTCCGAGAGCCAACTGCTTCCCTCTCTGCCAGCCTTGGCTCAGCTGAAACACTCTGTGATGACGACGTCCCACCGATACCTCTAGATTTGCAGAAGGATGGTAATTAAAAATATAAATGAACATTAAAAACATGAGTGACTGACATGTATACCTCTAAGTTATAGCAGCATAAACATACTTGTTTTTTCTTTTTCTTCCAAACCCTCCTCAGCAGCAGCATCTTCCGTAACACAAAGTGGGCAACAGCTGCCTGGAGATGATGCAGTTGTGTACACAGCAGCCTGCAGAGATGAAGATGAGGTTATCAGAAATCTTGTTGAAGACAGAAGCTTGGTCTGTCGTCCAGTGAGCATCATAAGCTTTAACAGCGGCTGTGGCTCCGAAGCTGCCCACGCTGTAGAAGCCCAGCCCCATGACCCCAGATGTGATGCTGCTTTTGATGGAGACATAGAACATTACCACTTGTCCTCAGGTCTCACAACAAACACAGGAGTTACGGAAGTGGTTGCAATGGCAGAGGTTGGTGGCACATTTTGGTATCTATATTTAGATGTGTTCTGATGCAGATTCACTGTGCTACTATTTTTATTCCACATTTGATCACACTAGAATGGATTACAGTGTAACCCTAGGCTCACACCGACTCCCGTCCTACCGTTGCGGTGCGGTGGGTGCGGCGCCGCAGTGATTCCAAGTCATTAAAAAGACGTAAACCTCTCTCACCGGCTGCTGAGCTGTCCGGCTGCGGTTACCGAGACACTCCGGCACTGCAGAAATTTCCGCAAGAAAGCTATCCTTGCGGCGTGCCGGAGCCCTCCGCAACAAGCTCTCGCAAATATCCTTATTTGGGCTGTGTTATCGCGCGAAGTTACGTGAACTCAATTGAACTTCTGTTCTCGCGAGTTAAATCTCCGGACCTGTTGCCAGAGCCGCAGAGCGGCACAGCACCTTAGTCAAAAGGGTGGTGTGAGAGGGGGTGTGCGGGAGTTGCGGTCTCCGTGGGCTTGGTAACCGCACCGGAGCCAGTGTGAGCAAGGGGTCAGTCATCAGGAATTTGTATAATACACCAGCACATAATTTTGAAGTTGAATGCAACGTATACATCACTACTTCCTTCAAAGTAGTTGTAGTTCAAAGTTAAAATCTAATCTTAGAAATTAACATGGTGTCTGCCTTAAAGAATAAAAACCAGTTAGTTCCACATTAGAGGAGCCTGATAACTAAAAAATCTTCCTCCCATTTCACTTTTGGAAACTCTAAAACCTATTAAAAAAACTATTTTCATAGCAAGGTGTTTTCTTAGAAAAAGTGGGGAAAATTAGTTATCTGATGTATGATGGTGCTTGATTTTTTTAAGGCTTTTGTTGAGAGAAGAAGAAATGCAGATTCAATTCTTAATTTAAAGCAATTCTGTGTCACCTTCAGCCACTGTGGGGGTTGACCTGTAATTTCCAGGTTTAGCGCCCCTGAAGGCTACTGGGAATACTATACAGTCTCCCTGGTCATACAGATTTAGAAATCATGAAGTTACATGTAAAGATAAGGCCACATTTAACCCTCTAGATGAACCCTTAATTGAACCACTACCTTAACAAAAATCTTGGCATGCAACATTGCCTGGTACAGTGGACTCTGGACCCCACCACAGAGCCAGTTCTGGGTTTGGGTTTCGTCAGTGAGCGCCTGGTGGTATTACCTTGCTGGGGGAAGGCAGCCTGAGCTTTTGTGGGAAGTGGAGCGATATCAGCTAAAATTAGTCTGGCTTGCCTCCACACACAACCAGGGCTCTGGGACTCGAGAGTCATACTCTCTTCTACTCTGAAGTGGCCCACAGAGAGACAGAGTAGACCTCTCCATTATCCAGCTCAGCCCTCTTGTGTTGGAGTTTACCAGGTTGGATGAGAGAGTCGCATCCCTTCGCCTTCAGGTAGTCTCTTATTGTTTCATACCAGGCCTTCTTAGCATCTTTGGGGAGGGTGTTTTTTAGCGCCCCTCGCAGGGATTCCATCATTCTACTGGGAGAATTTAGCACCCATGTGGGAAACGACAGTGACGACTGGATGTCACCGTGAGGGTGGTGGTTTGTTGAGGACCCAAATGCAGAGATTAGGGAGGCGGAGATTAGTTCTTGTAGGTTTAATCAAAATCCCAAAGGCAACAGAAGCAAAGTCCAAAAACAAAATACTAAAGACTGGGTTAATCATTAGCTGATATGGAGCAGATGTGGATGACAGTGACTAGAAGGGATCAAGGGCAAAGGAGACAGGCACAAGGAGGCAACAGAGTGTAACGAAAGACTTCTTAGATATACCGGTAACACAAAATGGAAAATAAACCAAACATCAACAAAACAGACTTACTTAGATAATAAAAACTTAAAAATCAAACTCCAAAAGAGGAAAACCATAAAACTGGAGTGGTGTGATCACGAGGAACGGACCCCAGCTCTGAACCTGATTGGTATTTCATTATTGACACTCTCTGCCACTCATGGATTATCCATAATGAACACCATGTTTGAGCAGAAGCATGTCCATCGATTCACCTGGCACCAGGACACCCTAGGCCAGAGGGCTTTTGACCTTCGTCAGGTTAAGAGAGGGGTGGAGGGGATGAGCTTTCCACCAACCTTCACCTGGTGGTGAGCAAGATACCCTGGAAGAGGAGGAAGCCGGAAAGACTCGGCAGGCCCAAACGAGTAGTGAGGGTCTGCTGGAGACATCTGGTGAAACCCTCAGTCAGGGATGTGTTCAACTCCCACCCCCGGGAAGGTGGATACATGTTCATGGGCCATGTCCTCTGCCTCCATTGTTGATGCCACTGCCCATAGTCATGGCCATAAGATCTGCAGTGCCTGTCGTGGCGAAAATCCCCGAACCTAGTGGTAAACACCGGCAGTAAGGGATGCTGTCAGGTAGCATCAAGGATTCTTATCAAGCACGGCTGGCTTGATAGGAATATCCATGAAATCTGGATCGAGACTGTAAGAACAAGATCTTGGACACAAGCAGCTAAAGCAATGGATCTTAACTTTTCAAGTCATAAAGGTCAGTTTTGAGAACAGTAGCCCACATGGAGCCTTGACACCCGTCAATTGGTATCTATATTTAGATAACTATAATGAAATCAAGCTAATACTTTGACCAAAAGTTAGGTAGTTTTGCTCTAGTAAGAAGCCAATAAAGGGAAACTAAAATATAAGACATTATGTATCTTTTTCAATTTCATCAGCACTCCTGATACAGCATTTTGTTAGAACAGGCCAGTTAAAGTCCAGATCCATATCCAGCTATGAAGTTGTGGTTGGACTTGAAAATATTTTTTAATATTCCATAACAAAAAATTTTTTTTGTGCTTTGAAAAACTTTTTGTTGTTTATTGTTTTAATTGTAACTAAAGAGAAAAATATGACTCCTTCTTAAAGACACACATTTATTTGAAGCATACATTACTTTCTGTTGCATATCTGGATGCTTGACAATGCTTCTAACTGTTGCAGGTGGCAATGGCCAAGTTGCGGACCGGTGACACTTTAGCCAGTGGGATGTCAAACTCTGGTTCAACTATGTCCTCCTGGATGAGCGATCTCAGCATGTGCAGTGAAGCGGATCAGTCTTTTCACAGCTTCAGTCAGTCTCAAAGTCAGCAAGGGGAGGCTCTGGCTGAGTCTGAAGGCAGCCAAAGCTTCGGAGTTGAAATTCTTAATGATTATGAGAGTGGAGGAAGCCCAAGAACAGAGGATCTGGTAGGGGACCTGGTTCTGCCAGAGAAGTTGGATAAGGCCCCCCCAAACAGAGACAAACAGGGAAAACTGCCACCATCTATGGCAAAAACTAACATTCAGATATTAGCTGGTCCTGGAAATGTCTCCTCTTTCAAGTCTACCATAAGTGTTCACCCTTGCATGGTTGTCAGACCCATGGTCATACATGAGCCAACAATCCTATCCTCTCCAAAAAAGACTGCCTTTATGAAAGACCCGGGCAAATCTAAAACTGAACTTTTAGCCCCCATTTCCAGTGAGATAACCTTTGAAGACCCTTGGTTGAAACGTGGGATGGAGGAAGGGAGATCCAAAGAACTTATCTGTGAAGTTAAACCAGAAAAGAGGGAAGTAGAACCTTTAAAGATACATGCCAACGATTTCTGCAGGGATGGTAAGAAACAAGTAGATTTTGATTTTAAGCAACATTATTTATTCTTGTACTCTTTCTTATTTATCATTTGAATTTTATTAACTACCTCTGGCTTAGGTGGGGATCAAAGTAGTTGTGGCTCAGGAGGTGATGTGATGTCCTTTACAGACTCGTTCAAGAGAGTCGTGGATGGTTGTGAGATGATCTCTGTGGCTGTCCATGGTGATGGCTGCACCCAAGACATCCACCGCACAGCCAGTCTGCCCCGTGGCTGGCACCGTCTCAACCACCACGATGGCTTAGAAACTGGAACAGAGTACCGCAATTTTGGAGTCACCAATTCAACACCTTGCAGTCCTCGAGCCACACTTGAACGTACTGGATCCAAGGGAAGGCAAGGATTCTTCTCCCACAAGAAGGGGGGAATCCCACCTCTTCCACCAATACGGAAATCCAGCCTTGACCAGCGAAACAGAGCAACCAGTCCTCTCCCCCAACCCAATCATGGAGTGTCATCGCTGAGTATCATTGCAGATAGTACAGGGAACACTAGAAAACGTGGCTCCAGCATAGACAGTAGCAGACTCTTTAGTGCCAAGTTAGAACAGCTGGCCAACCGAACAAACTCTCTTGGCCGGGTCCATGGTTCACAAGGTGGGTCTCACCATTATGACTGCTTCTCCCTGGAGAGAGGTGAGAGCCTCAGGGGGGGAGGCGTTAGGGGGGACACCACCATGCCTCGTACTGGCCGCAGCATCACCCGCACCAGCTCAATATCATCTCCCACCGGAAACCCCGGCAGCCCCATTTTCAGTGGCAGTAGCAGTCCAAACAGTGCTCCACAGTCACCAGCTAAGGGCAGTGGCCAGTCAAAGATCTCAGCAGTCAGTAAGCTGCTAATGACCAGCAGTCCTAAATCTCGGAGTCTTTCTGCATCCAGCACCAAGACACTGAGCTTCTCCACCAAGTCATTAACCCAGACTAACAGCCGCAGCTCCAGCCTTCCTCCCAATGGAAAGGTAAAGGGTAACTGTTTTCAGAGTGGGATGAAACACAGCTTCTTTATTTACCTGAATGTGATCAGTTTAGCTGATAATGTAATTTCTTTTTTCATTAACAAATAACCCCAGAATTCAGTCCAGACTCAAGTTCAGCAGCAGCAAGGATCCACCCCTGGATCATGGTCTACCCAGTCCCTGAGTCGCAGCCGAGGGGGAAGTCTGACAGCCAACCTGCCTTTGCGGGCTGTTAACAGCAGAATCTCAGAGATTCTCCAGGGAAGTGCAGGATCCCGTACCAGGAGCCTTGTTCTGGGAGGAGGCAACGATCGAACAGAGGAAAGAGGATCTGGAGCAACAAGGTTCTTTTTACCTTCAGATTAAGACAGTTAGTTTATATTGTGCCACACACAACACATGACATGCAAAGGCAATTTTACAATTTTTAGCCAGTTTAAGAAGATCATAAAATGTCAAACACTTATTTTATTGAGTTTACCTGCAGAGTTTTTTTATTCTGGCTGTTGTACAGAAAAAAACATGCATTACACATGTTAAAACATAATATATATATATATATATATATATATATATATATATATATATTTTGTGAGACATCAAGTTATGTCACATCTTTAAGCAAAGATATTGACATCTTTATGACCAAAACAAATATGCAGATTGGATAGAAAAATGTTTTTCAAGTGCTAATCATTTCATGCTTTGTTTTGTATTTTATTCATTGCTTTGGTTTTTCAGTGGAGGTGGAGCAGATGGAGATAATCAGGGAGAGGAGAGGGCAGCTGTGGTCCAAACACTGCCCTCTCCTTACAGCAAGATCACAGCCCCAAGAAAACCTCACCGTTGCAGCAGCGGCCATGCAAGTGACAACAGGTAAACTGTAGTGACGGCAAGGTTTTTTCTAAGCTGCATGCTTGCGTACTTGTATATTTACACATATATTTAAGAATTGATGAATATGTGTAATAGAATGGGAATGTGCTTTAAAAAAAGTTCAGCAAATGTCCCTATTCAGCACATCAAAAAGTGTTACAGATTCCTAAATAAATAACCCAAAAGGAAGAAGATTATGTATTATTGATTATGTATTATTTACCAATTTAGGCTCCAGAACAATGAAACTCACCGGTTGGCAACAGACCTGCTGTCCAACAGGCGCACAGCTAAAGACACACCTATTAACCGCGCAGCTCAATGCCCCATGTAAATTCAAATAGATAATGAAGTTAAAACGTAAACAGGGGTCAATCAGCACGTTCTCAGACATGGTGGTTGCAGCACTTAAATGTAAGGAGCTAAAGATCTTACAGCTTGTGAATATCTGAGCTACATTTCAAGCATCCAGTGCTGATTGTTAAATAGGATTTGGTTTAATGAATCAATCAACAGCAGCCAGAAATCATCTTAAAGTGGCATATTTGAAATACCACTGGAGAAGTAGAAAGGACAGATGTGAAAAATAGATCAAATGTTCTTCATTTTTGTTCTTATTCTAGTGACATTTATTTTTTATTTTTATTTATGCATATTACTGACATGGGAAAATTTCCAACGGTTAACATAGTAAACGGCAAAAATCTGGTTTATCGCCAGCCCTAACTCAGTGCTCTTTAGGTCAGAACAGCTCACAGTGCAGAAGGGCACACAGGACACCTGGCCAGGACAGCAATCGGGTGCCATCTTGGTTGATCGACTCCTCCACCTGGAGGGCAGAACAAGCAAGGTTATGCTGGGTTTTCAGCTCTGAGTTTATCCGAAGAGGGATGCAGTCCTTGCTGCACAAGCAAAAATGGACCATGGTTTCAGAGATTGAGATTGTCTCTCCTTCCATCAGTCTGAGGTCCAGTGGGAAGAGAGACAAAAATAATTTTCTCAATAAAGATGCCGCTGGGGTACGGTTCAGGATGTGATGTAAGGGGGACAGGCTGCGTCAAAACAAAACCATAATTTGACACCCTCATTGAAGTTGGTTCTGATCTATAACATGTTTATGCATCAAAAATTAGAGGGAACATTGGTGACAAGTGAAGCTTTGTTTTCTGAAAATAGGTTTAATGTTCCCAAAGCTTTTCATTAATGATTTATTAAATTAACCTTGGTGTTTTTCTCTCCCTTATAGCAGTGTACTTAGTGGAGAGCTGCCCCCAGCCATGGGAAAAACTGCTCTATTTTACCACAGTGGATGCAGCAGTGGCTATGAGAGCATGCTAAGGGACAGTAGCGAGAACACAGGAAGTACCTCCTCAGCTCAAGACTCCCTCAGTGAACACAGCTCAGCCACCACTTCCTCCAGACGGAGCTCTAAGAGCAGCAAGAAAAACAGGAGCAACACAGGTTACAATTTGAGATATTTTTGATGCACAACCTACATTAAAAAACTATTTAAGATGGTTCAAAATAAATTTAGACTAGTTTTGTTTCTTCAGTAAAACTCATGACCATTCCTCCAACTTGTGTTATGGAGGGCTTTGTATGTGGTTAATTTTTATTAATATATAATTAGAAACTAAGAGGAGGAAATACATTACCAGAAACTCTCTTCCAAATAAAATGGTAATCATATTTTTAGTGTATCTCCATTATTTTTTTGTTTTTTAAGCAATTTTAGATTTCAGTTTTTACTAAAATGTTGAAGGATGTCAAAGACGATTAAAAAAGTAAAGATAGTTGGCAGAAATTAATTGAAAGAAGAACAGGGGGAAAAAAGCAAACAGAGAAGTAAAGAAGGCAGAGCGATGTGTTTGAAGGAGAAGCCAGGTAGGAAAGGTGACCCTGACCAGCCATCTGTGAAATGGTAAAACGGAATGTGCCGTTGTTGGCTGTAATGAATATATATTCACCAGAATATAACACAAGAGCTTACTAATGCACTTCCTAAATGACTCTCTTCTGCTCTAGCATAACGGTGGATGTGTGCATAAAATAAGATTAAAAAGAGTCTGTAAGGTTTACTGTGGGACTGATTATTGATCTAAACTAGAATTAGGCTTTCATCCTCAGTGTGTATGGTCTCACCTTCAAATTATATGCAGACAATCTTGATTTTGATGCAGAGGATTGTGATCTCTATTTTGCCTTAACCCCAACAAATTATCAGGGACAAAGAGCCAATGTACTTTCAATCTCTCTCAAGAAGGACTGCCGAGATGGAGAAAATATGAATTTTGTGTAAAATATAAAAAGCAATGTCCAGCTATGAGGTTCATTAAATCATCTGCTGAGTCTTTCTTTGTGCCTGATTTCCATTTGATTGGATTCCTTTTTTAATCAATGCCTTTGACAGTCTGACCACTCAGAATCGAGTCCTCATGCAAATGTCTCTGCTTGACCTCTCTGTGCAGCACTGAGACCAAAGTAAGCTGAAAATCATATTAAAATTCATGCTTTCCTCACACTTAAACATCTTATCTTACACTTCTTCTGCTAAGCTTCAAATATCTTAACATGGCTGCCCACTTCTATGCTAGTTAATAGTTTACTGTGTAATGCAGAAAAAGACTGATCTATTAGGTCATATTGTTTATTTGAAACTCCAAAAGGTATACAAATCCCTTTAGATTTTTGTCAGCTTAGAACCCTAAACTTTTATTTTTGTGAATTTCATATAAAAACAAAAAAGGTTCATAATTTTGAAATTTAAGGAAAATTATACATTTAAACGTTTTTATACTTTCAGTGTAGAACAACTTATTACTGGTAAAGCAATGACAGGTTTAGTCTCACGAAGGATGGCTCCTCCAGCTTTGCACATCTAGAGACTGAGGGGTTTTTTGCTTGTTTTTCTATTCAAAATAGTTTGACTTCTAGAACATAAGATAGAAAGTATATGATGATAATTTTCAAAAATTTTTTTTTACAAGTATTGAAAACTAATCACCCTCTGGGTGTATTGTTGAATTAATCCTGTGGCCTATTGCAGCCTTCTTTCTTCCAGTTTTGATTTAACCCACAGTGAATGCTGCCACCACCGTGTTAAATACAATTCAATTCAGTTTATTTATATAGCGCCAATTCACAACACAAGGCACTTTACAATTCAACCATGTCATTCAGTGAAATCGATTAAAAGTTTTCTATCTAAGGAAAACCGGTTGATTGCATAAACTCATTGACTCAAAGGCAATCCCTCACACCAAGCATGCTTTTAGCGACATTGGAGGGGGGGGGGGGGGGGGGGGGGGGGGGGGGGGGGGGGGATCGCTTTTAACAAGAAGAAACCTCCAGCAGCACCAGAGACTGTAGGAATAGTGAAAAAGCATTATAGGACCTGTTACTTTCAACCACAAATAACCTTTTTTCATACTGTGTTCCCTGCTTCCTTTCTGGCAAACTGTTATACTTTTTACTTTTCGTAAAAAGTTATCAGATTGGTGTATTTTAGACTGGTTTCCATGTCAACGAGACTCCCATATTTATCTAAGATTATACATTTCAGTTCCTTTAGATTTAGAGTTGCAGTAAATAATTAAGCAAATGAAAAAACTAACTCTGTAATTTTTTTTAAACATTTAGATTAGCTTTTGATCAGTTAAATAATGGAAAATAAAATCACATACATTTCAAATGAACAATTGTTAAAGACAGCACCATATAAGAGTAAGAGTAAGAGTACCATATTTCTCTACACCTGAAAACACGGATCCTCTTCTCCTCTTTCAGGCCTCCAGCGGCGACGTCTGATCCCAGCTCTGACCCTGGACTCATCTTCTTCACCTTCTCAGCGCTCCTCCAAACAGGCCGTTACATCCTCCTCCTCCTCCAGTCCAGGTGCATGCTGGGTGGACGGCCCACTGGGGCCTCCCACACCCTCTAACCACTGGGGTGTAGCTGCATCCACAGAAACGATTGAGATCAAAGTGTATGAGATCGATGACGTGGAGCGACTGCAGAAGAGAAGAGACAAAGGAGGAAGCAAGGTAAGCTTTTGGTTTTCTTGAGAAGAAGAATTAATACATCTAAATATTGTAAAATAAGGCACAATGGAAGAACAGCAGGAGTTCTACTCCTCTTCATGATGTAAAATTAATTTAGAGAAAAAGATATGTTTACGTATCTGGCACATGCTTTTTATCCAAGGTGACTTACAAGTGAGGACAGAACAACACGGTTAATATCGAGCTAAGAATAAGCCAGAGATGCTTTTCAACTGCTTGTTGAAGACCAATAGTAAAGCCAGCTTCTTAACGGAAATGTTCTAATAGAACAAAAACACACTTAAATATAAAAAATAAACCTTTTTTTTTTTTTTTACAACATGTACAGCAATGAGGAGTTGTCCCTTGCTAAGAGTTTTAATTTCATCTAAAGATTGTAATACATTCTTGGAATTAGCAGAACAGACTTCAACATTGAAAATTATTCTAGAAATATGCACAGTGCAGGTTTTTCAGTTTCAATTGTCACAGTAAGCTTCTGTGTATTCAAGGGGGGGAGAAGTAAGGAGCTTTGGAGAAGAGGAAGGGACAGAATTGCATGAAGTATAGATTTTCTCTGCAGCTACCTTAAGAAAGCCACTTAACCCCCAACTGGTCCAGCGAAGCGGCCCTGTGTCCCAGATCCCCAACTGAGGTCCAACTGGGAATCGATGAGGGGTGAATGTGAGCAGAAGTGTGAATTTAAAGCATGCTGCTGCTGAATGAGAGCCACATGTGCTTCGACAGTCGCTCCTATGGACATGTAAAGGTAAATAAAACCCTTTCACATTGCTGGCACTTTCTCTGTTTGCGTCTGTCAGGAGGGCGTGTTCGTCAGTGCCAAGCTGCGAGGGTTGGAGCACCGCCAGCAGCGAATCAGTGAAGTCAGAGCCAAGTACCAGTGTCTGAAGAAAGAACTGGAGCAAACCAAACAGCACTTGATGCTGGAGCCACACAAATGGACAGCTGAGTGTAAGTGTAGCACATTAGGGAATGTCTGTGTGTGTGAGAGTGGGAGATAAGCAGTAAGCAGCTGCTTAGAGAAGGCTTTTAAGAGATCATTTGTCAGAAATTAACCCAATAATTTATCAGCCTCATTTAGTATTGGAGTTTTTTAAAGTCAATTCATTTTTATGAGTCTACACGGCTTCTTAACTTTCATTTATTCACCCAATGGAAGAAAAACCAACAATTAGAAAATAAAGCATTTATCTGAGTGCAGCAGGCAAAGCAGCTCTGATAGCTTTTATTTCTGTATCTTCACCAGTAGGTCTTCAGCTTATAACATGTTTACATTTAATGTTTACACATGTAAACTTCAAATTATCATGTGAAAAGTATGCACTGCAAACAAAGCAGCAGTAAAGTGGAAAGCAAATATAACACGACTATCAGAATTAATTTCAGAAAGAAACCGAGTGCTGAGATGCGCATACAGTATGTCTTCAGACTCCTGAGTAGATATTTTGTAAAAGCACTGCTGTTCAGAATCTTTTGGGGTATTTCTCTTGCAGCTTTTCATTTAAAGAAATTATTTTTGCTTCAGAATATAGCAAACCAGCTTGTTGCCTTAAACTCTTGCTGAATGTTTTTAATGTGCATCTCTGTCGCTGCCTTGAGTCTTTTCCAGCCTCTCTCAAATCATCATTAAATCTTTCTCTGTATTCATGCATAGCCAGATTCTTATCAACTTAAGAAATATCTACACAGCATGATGCGCCATCACCATGTGATTTGTTTTTCTCATTGAATTTACCACGTAAGCTAACCCCTCCCTCTACTTGCTCACACCTAAGAGGTTGACTTAAACCTGTTTAGGGGCCTGAAATATCCCTAAACCTGTAGTGTTTTGCTCTGAACAGCTGTTATCGATCAAATCTGTTTAAGCTGATGTGGAGGATTCCTGTAGAGTGCATCCAGCTGTCTCACCCTGCTTTAGTCCATAAGTTGGTTAGGCTGAATAGCACCACAGTCGGCTGGTTCCTACAGACCACAGCTGTTAACCTCAGCTCTTTCACTGATTTACAGTTTTTACTAAGAACTGGGTTAGAATAGATTAGCAGCTTGGTGTGAGCTCCAGGAATGTTGTTTAAATAATTTTTTTGCTATAAACAACCTTTAAAGAAAAATTCTGGTCAACATGGAATGCTCAGTGGATCATTATCTATAGCTAAAACAAATACATTGGCGGTGATTTAATGAATTTAGTGTTAATCAGTAAGAAAATTAAACTAATAATTTTCGTAGCCATCACTGAGAGGCCATTTTTGCCCAAACATAGAAACACCTTATTCCACGGTGCGGTAAGCCTAGTTCCATTCTCCTTGCTCAAGAGGGCTCAAAGAATTGAATATTAACAGATTATCTAAAGATCTATATGCTTATTTTAATAGGCATGTGTTTTTTTAATATATAAATAGGATAAAAGAAAGCACACATTCAGCAAATTATCAGGTCAAATAATCAGAAAAATTATCAACCTAACTATAAGGGAGGCTTTGGGGAGCAGAGCTTTTTATACCTTCTTGGACTAAAGGTGAGCTTTGATGCAGAAGCCTGCCTCTGGATGGAAGTGATCTGATATCCCAGGTGATATAAATCTTCCAGAAATGACAGATGGTTCTTCATGCAGCAGAAACGTCATGCGGTCGTCCAGTTTAAAATCTGAGCTCAGCAGCTTAAACCCAGGACCACATTACTGGCTAAACGTGCGATGTCACCATGAGCAAAGGACCCTCAGAGAGCCAGCTTCTGGAAAAATCGGACTTTTAGAATTGACCAGGTCTAATTTGTTTTCTTTCCCTTCAAGCTTTCCCTCTGAGTCAAAATGGGTTGACTGCTGTGTTTTTTGGTGTTTTTGATACTTTTGTTAATACTGACTCTGTCTCCACACCGCAAAGCAGCATCTTTTTAATCCTAGTATATTAGTATAATGACAGTAAATACTTTCTTTTTTTGTATTCTGTTCATTTTTTTCTAATTAATACGTCTTAGGCCTTGAGAAAACTTAAATTAGTTAGAAATAAATTATCATGGACTAATTCTGTCAATTATGGAGGTAATAGGGGGGCACTGGATATAGTTTTAGAGTGTAAGAGGTAAGGGGTTATTTGAATATGAATATATTTTGCTCTTTTTAGTGATATGCACACAAAATCCATTCATGTTTGCAGCTGTAATGTGACAAAAAATGTAAAGGTTACCACCTACTTAAATGCAGCAAGATTTTAACAAATCCCAACATAAGTTTTTCTCCATCTCTCTTGTTTCCAGTTGAGCTGCAGCAGCCCTACGACTTGGACTCCATGGAGTATTTGGAAGCTCTGGAAACAGTGACAGACAGACTGGAGACCAGAGTTAACTTTTGCAAAGCACATCTTATGATGATTACCTGCTTTGATGTTTCCTCAAGGCACCGGTAGATGGATTAAAGGCTGAGGAGCCAACAAGAGAAGCACATTGAGAAAACATTATTCTAATACTGGATAATGGAAAACTTGGAACAAGGATCATAAAAAGAGAGGGACCTGTTATTCATGCAAGAGGTTTATACATTACTCCGGATGTAAGAAGACTCAAGGACAGATCAGATGAATGAATGAAGAGCTCAACAGAGATAACTAACAAGGACCAAGCTTTTAACGTAACATCGGTTGCATTCTGATAACATCTATTTATCTGGTTCGGTGGAAATGTTCAAGGGAGAGAACCATTTCTACAACAAATGATTACACCAAGCAAACAACATTTTAAAAAACTAATTTCATGGTGCACACTGAGTTAAGAATGTACAGAAAAAAAAAGAGTCTGTACATCAAAAATGGCACTTTTTAAAAAGGACAAAGAAAATGAGGAAGAAAGGGGCTGTAAATGAGTTTTAATGAGAGAAAGATGTTGAATTGTTTCCCTGAGAGACAAAAGAAGACATTTAAGATAAGTGCCTTGAAAACATTCCCAACACCACAAAGACCAACCTTTTCTGATTTTTGTGTACATTCTGTGGGCGGTGCTAGTATGGGAGGAAAAAATCCAAATTGATGTCCTTGGAAATTCTCAGTCATTTCTGAATATGACGTTTTTTCTGTGGGTTTGTGTTTCCTAAATCAATTCAAAAAGAAGAAGAAAAAAAACATTTTAGTGTATTGTCATTGGTTTGTTAATGAGAGAAACTACTTTACTGGAACAAAAACTTAAGGGATACTGAGAATTCAGGTACAGTGTGTAAGTGCACAGAGAGAGAAACTGTCTGTAATGTTTCTGCCTGATTTTGTCTCTCAAATGGTGCAAATTTGAGTTTCTATCCGCTGTACTCTGGAGGATTCCTTTAGTTCAGTTCCTCCGATTCTGATGTGATAGCTTTTTCATGTTCAACAAAGAAAAGAAGTGTGTGAGTCACACAGGAGTGGAGGTGAAAAGATCTCTCTCTGATCCAGTTTTAAGTGCATCCACTGACTGGTTGGCTGCCTGCTGAGTGACTGACCGTTATTTGTATCTGTGTTGTTGTGCTTTACTCTAAAAAAAAAATCTGAATGGTTCATAAATATGTTTCTTTTTTCTTAATAAGGTTTCCTTTTTTATTCGAGGTAAATGGGACCATGTAGAGGCTGTGTGTGATAATAAAGAAATATTTAAGATGCACTACAAGGAGAAAATATTATTACTGTAGTGAATGCTATTGAAAGATAAAATTTACATCAAAGCAACTAATTAAATAAGAATTTGTATACATTAGGGCATTAGGACTGTGTTCAATAATTGTAAAGAATCTATAAAACTCACAGAAGAAAGCATCTTAAAATTCATAGCTCTCTTCCTGGTTCCATTTATTTTGTATGGATAGAAATGTAAAAAAAAAATGTTAATATTATCTATTGTTCTTGATATGTTTATTATCTTAATGTTTGTAAAAAAAATATAGATAGATGAAAGAGCCCGTTTCCCCATGAAAAGCATAAGCTTTCTGTTTATATGCTTCGTCTCTCTTATAGTCTACAGTCATCAGCGTTGCTGTCCTGAACGTAACCCATAACTCCAACAGTTTGCTGTGTTTTTACTGCTCTCATATGAGGAGCAAAAACACCACAATAATCTATGGGTCTGATTATTCGAAACCACCTCATGGTTTATTTTCTATTGGTGGTTTATTGTTTTATTAGACCTGCCAACAGTACAAAAAAATTACAGCTGAAAATAGATATTTACATCTATTGCATAGAAGCAAATTTTTTTTCTTCTTTCTCTGACGGAAAGTAAGACAAAATATTCTTGTCAGCTCGGATTATAAAAGTTATTTCCCTTAAGTAAATTTGCTCTACAGCAATTATAGAAGATATAACATTTAAGAGCACTTTAATTCCTTTCTTTGAAGTTTTCGAAGTAAGCACATTTAGAAACACAAATCAATAAACTTGTAAAATATTTGACAAAGCCTAGATGGATTTTATGGCTTGGAAGGCTGCTAAAAAGTTTTATCTACAAGATTACATTTGAAGAAAACCTGTAGATGGATTTTAAAACAAAACTGCTTCGTTGTTTAAGAACATGGGAATTTAAAAAGAAATCAGTAGAAAGGTGGCCTACAGACCAGACTTGGTTACACCGTTTGTTTGAAAAGGAAAAGGCCAAAACTCCAGCTCACTCTAAAAATCCTGAGGAAGAATACCAACAACAATATAAACATTAAGGTTAAAAGGCACCAAAAACTTCTGACTTTGAAATAATGCTCTGTTTATTTGGCATTTACCAAGGGTTGTTTATAACAATGCAGACTGATCTTGAACAGGAAGTGTTCATTTTGCAAATGTTTATTATACACAATGCAAATATCTAGTTTGAGCTGTATCTGCCATTTGATCCTTGTAATGCTCCTTTAAATGAGATAAAGCCATGGTGTTTCTACAGTGCAGAGATGTGATAAAAGCCATGATTTTAAATCAACCCCAACACCAAAACACTTTTGACAACCCCATCACAACTATTTTTTTTAAGGTATTTGACTTAATGAGGTTTCTTTTTTTTCTTTTTTCATCTGTTAAAGTATTCTAAACCAATCCAACTGTCATGAATCAAAGTTTAGTTATTTTAAGCTCAAAGAGCAAAACTCTTAATTAAGCCTTTTATTTATTTGCACCTTATAATCTTGCAGTTTCTATGCATTTAACAAAAATGTCTGTACATACTTTTTCCAAGTCCATGCCATATATGAATTTATATACTGTTTAAACATGGCATATAGCAACTCATTTTTTATTTTGTATATTCTTCTGTTGCTGTTGATTTGATTGAGTCCAGTTGTCTCTCTGGGGAGGGGGAGGTTCAATGATACAGGATTTTTCCTAAAGCTCTGTTAACTGTAAACAGTTCAGTCTGTATGTAGATTTTAAACATATTGATGCAGTTTATCACAGCAGAATAAAGATGATAGAGGAATGTTCAATAGGTGTAGATTTCCAGCTTTCAAAGGTTTTACTGTATTACTTCAGATTTTGTTTTTTTTTAAACACGTAACAATTTGGGGTTTTTTTGCTGCCGAAGATTCTCAGTCATCCAGATCAGTCATTCCAAAAACCCAAACGACCACCATTCCGAAGTGGCGGACATGTTCGCCGGTTCAATTTGCATGTTTTCTAAGCCAAAATTAGGCTTTGTTTTTGGTCCACTCAAAAAAGCCTTGAACTCAGCGCGAATTCTGACATTTTGAATTGAAAAAGCTTCCTGGGTGGGAAGCGAAACGTCTTCAAACTTAGGAAACAAAGTCCAGTAGATTATTTTATTTTATCTTTTTTACATTTTTGGAATTAGTTTCTTTGCATACGCATGTTCTAAAAACATGTATTCCTAAACTAACTAAAATGTTGGTGGGTAATTGCTGAAAAAGTCTGAATATGTCATAAACAACATCAAGTAAGATCTTCTCTCACCTAGGGGTGGCTTGGCACTGGTTCTTTTCAAATGAGTATTAAGAAATTCAATTTACCTTTCAGTATATGTATGGAAGTAAAACTTTGTAAGCCTCGTCAACCAACAAACTAACAGCTCATGAGTCTTTAGAGAATATTTTATTCCAGTGCCTAAAGACAGCAACATGCTAGCTATGATATATACTGTATGTATGTGAGCTCCTAACAGTGTTAGGAGGCCTTATCAGGAGCTAACGGTGTTAGTGGTGCTAACAGTTGTAACAGTACTTGTATGTTTACATGAACAAGTTGAGATGTTTTTCATTCTCTAAAACAGACAGGGACGTCAGGGAAGTTTTATTTACTAGTCTGCTTTTTCAAAAAATAGAGCTTTGTAAGGTTGCCATTAACTTAAATTGCAGTGTTTCTTTAACAGAGGCAGCCCAAATACCCTCACAATTTCTTCATTATCTGAAGAAAGTCTAAAGTTCTTTAATGTAACAAAAAGAACATATAAAAACAATGTTTTTCGTGGATACAAATATGTTAAGGACTAAAAGTTTGGAAAAAGGATGGTATTCATATAAGCAAAAAATATCAGTTTTATTTGTAGACAAGGCAATAAAACATTGATATTACTTTGAATCACTTCATATACGTTTACCTTTTTAATCTGCAACCTATGGCATGTCAGCTTTTTTCATGTTTATTTTGGTCCTTTTGTGAATTTTTTCAGAACCTCAACATCAAAGTAAACAAAAATGAACAAATCACTAAGCATATAATTGTTAAAACTCTTGAGTGAAAGCTGGAAGTCTACTTTTATTCAGTCTGAAATGCTTAACCTCAACCAATGGTGGTGGCAGACTACAAATGAGCATTAGAAAAACAGAAATATAGGGTATTAACTAGAGATAAGAAGGGTTTAAAATGTCATAGGACCAATATGTGTGAACAGAAATGCCTGTAATCACATTACAGACATTGTCGGCATCGGATATTTCAGGAGCCTAAAACAAAATCCTGTACATGTTTTCAGTGTTAAGATGCTATGGTGGGAGGATTCCGCTCTGACTCGCTGTTAAATCTGTGTACTTTGTTAACGCTTTATAACTCAAGCAATAACTCAACATAATTGATGGTTTGGTGTCACTGTTTAAAGCAAACATGTAAATCCATGTGAATATGTGCCGGGTTTAAAATCAAATCCCTACATGTTTCTCTGAAGTCTTTGCAATCTCCAATGTGTTATCAGAATATCCAAAATATAGCATATTTAACTTGTTATAGAGGAATGTTGTTGTAAAGTCAAGGTCGGACCATATTTACCAAAAACAAACATATTTTCATCTACAAAGATGTAAGAATTGTAAGTGTATCTAAATAACTGCTATTGATACCTTCCCAACCAAATTCAAAATGGTCCCAGAATATTATTAACATTTCAGATCATATCTAACAAAATAACAGTATTCTGGTTTTCTCTATGATGTACCCATATATCAACATTGTATGGCTCTGTATAGACCTGCTGCAATGAAAAAAGGTCTGACTCTTCTTCTTTTTGATGGGAAAAAAGATAGAGGGATGTAAATAAAGGAATGTATTTAGCCGACTCTTCATTTTTTGCAACATCAACATAAATCCTGGTATGTCTGTCAGCTCTAATTAAATATTAAATAATTTAACTGTTATGTTAAGAAATCAGACAGATTCATAAATGAATTGAAAAAGACAGATACAGCTTTAATTGCGTGTACAAGATAAACATTGTGTGTAGATCTGACCTGAAGCATTCTGCCATGCAAGTTTTAAATCAGCTGCAACACTGTGCATCTGGGCTAACGACTGCTGCAGGAATGTGCCACTGCCAGCCCTCCACTTACAACCCCACCCGGATAAGAGGATCTAAAAGATGGTGGGTAAGAGGAACCTTTAGGCAAATCTTTTCTCTGGTAGCTGAAGGATTTTTTCCCAGCTTCTTGGGACCTGTTTACCAGTTTACCACTGAAGCAGGTGAGTCCAATCTTCACCGTGAATTAACCTGTGCAGATTGGACTCACCTGCTTCAGTGGCTGGGTAGATTAAATACATGACATGGAGATGACTTGTTGACTCCACATTGCCCATGTCTGAAGTGAATCCAGTAGAACTTTTTATTGCCTGCCTGGAATGGGTGACAATAGTTGAATAAACTTTTGGTTCTCAAAATGGTATCGGTGCCCTATTTGCTACGATACCAATACCACCATTTTAGTGCTGGATTGGTGCCCCATCCGATACTAGTATCGTTGCACTACTTTTGGAGTAACCCTGAGTGTTTCCTAGTTTGGAGCTGAGTTCTGTACAGGAAAGTGTTGGAAATGGCATGGCCTATTCTGGAGAAACCTTTGAAGGTTGGAGTGCAAATATTCTGTGGATATCTCTGTTAGGAGATGGTGATTAGGAGCAATTAGATGTGTTGTTTTAAAAAAAAAAATCTCTTCTTAAAATATGCCTCAATAAAGACATCAGATTTTAAGCACCAAAGCACTAAATACGATTAATTTATGACAATGTTCATGTTACTCTTACATGTACAGTATGATCAATTAGCATTGCAAAGAAAATCTGCCACTCATGAATTTTTTTGCGAATCATGTCAATAATTACATCCTTTTGTGTTGCACCTAGACACATATTCAATTCACACAAACAATTATGATGTATGTCACATTTTTATTGTTTACCAACCTTTCTTTAAATATATAGTTCTCTCACATTAATATACAATCTAAATGTTAAATCTAAAACTCAACTTATAAACTTATATTTATTTATTAAAAATCTTTAATTTGGAAAATGCCAATTAACTGTGTCCCTTTAAGAGTTCACTTTGTGGCCACACCCTCAAGGCACAGGAACGCCTTTGAAGGACTTGGCCCACCTTTTCCTCTTATCTTCTATGCCAGGGGTAACGGATTAAAAAAAAATCAACAACCAGTAAAGGTTCAGAGACATTTATATGTATAATCTGTAACTTTAAACAGAATTTAACACAATCAAAAATAAGGGTTTTTATTAGTGCTGTCAAAATTATCGCGTTATTATCGCGTTAACGCGAGGCCATTTTAACGGCGATAATTTTTTTAACGTGAGATTAACGCTATGTGGTTTTATGGTACAATTTTCCAAGTACATCCCGCTGCAGCCTGCGGGAAGGCGGGGCTATTTTCCCCCAGTCTATGCATTTCTCATAGGGTTCAAGAGCGGAGCTCCTCAAGGGAAAAAGACGCTCATACACTGGGTGACGCTAGTGCCTTTTCTTTAAGCCCCACCACCAACAAACAAGTTGAGTGTCTGGTAACTAGTAGCAACCTGAAATACGCTGAGAAAACAGACTACTGAGGTGAAATGGAATCTGCTACGGCACGCTTGCTGTCACAGGTCGGTATCGTGTGTGTGTGTGTGTGTGGGTGGGTGGGTGTGTCTGTGTGTGGGTGGGTGGGTGTGTGTGTGTTCTCATTTTTGTTAAGAGTCTGAAAAGTAACTTTCATAGACTACCTCCATCTAGTGATGTCCGTCTATTGATTTTGATGTATTGATTGAAAATTGTTCATTATTATCTTGGTTAATTAACATCTAATGTTAACTGTACTACATTTTATAGCAGTAGGGTAAAATGTTTGTCTTTGTTCAAAAGACTGTATTAACTGTAAAGACTGTCTTTTACATCAGCCTGTTTTCAGGGCCT